TCCCTCTGAGATCTAGTGGTAGTAGAAGGCTGTAAAGTTGCATATCCTCCACACTTTTGTTTGGTATGCATTTTCTTTCCAATATTTTTATTAAGAGACGGAGTATAATAGTGGTACAAACAGTACAGCAGATGTCTTGCCTCGTGTTAAATATTCAGACATAACAAATAATAATAAAATCATAAACAAATAGAACAGAAACTACACAGACACAAAACAAAATACTACCCCCACTCTCCACCCCTCCCACTATAGTGCTACTCAAGAAATAATGAAGATGACCATCATGCAGTGCATCTTAAAGTCCGTCCTTTCCAAGAATGAAATTATTATATGTTATCCAAGCTTTAAAAGTTGGTACATATTTCCTCTTTCAAAGTAGAAGATGTTTGGGATGCATTTTTAATTTCTCCTAGATATTTGGCATCAGTGGGACCAGATAAGTTTAAAAAACTAGACCAAATGTCCTCAAATGAGTACTTCCTAACATTAACAGCATCTTGTTGCTGTTGCCAAAATTGGTCAAATTTGTTGCCATATCAAACTACAAACGTTATTAATCATGAATAAACACTTTTGTGTCGGGATCGGCTGCAGACTGACTTGGCAGAGGTGGCTGCTATCTTGTTTTTACATGTATGACTGTATAGTGCTCTTACTACCACGAGATGGCACAAAGAAGTGTCCACGCACGAGGACAACAGGTTTAGGTTAAGCAGAATGAAGTATAAGGTCAGGTAACTCCAAAATGTGATGTTCAGGAGGATAATGAAAATACTCTCGTGAAGTACAAGTACCTTTTGCGCAGGTACAGTACTTGAGTACATGTACTTTACATTCCACCACTGCAGTCACCTTGCATAGTATGATGTGTAAACAGTTGAATAAAAAAGACTGAGCTATACTGTGATAAAAGGGAATCTAATTATCTAAAATCAACGTTTTTATTGTTCAGTTAAGACGCCGATAGTTTAGCTTAGTTAAGCAAGACATCAAGTTATGAAATGTCTTGTTTTGTTTGACCAACAGTCTAAAACTCAAAGATACTTACGTCTACTGATGCATAAGAAAGGCAGCAATTGCATTTGAGAAGCTGTTTAGCATTTTTGCTTCATAAATAACTTTAAAATGTTATATTAAGATAGCTGCAGATTCATTTTCTGCTCTTGGTTACAGTGCTGTGTATTTGTTGTAGGTCAGAGTTCATGTGTACCAGTGTAGGAAGTCCATATTTAGTTTGAAGTATTAGTTTGCGTACAGGATCCGACTGTATTCCTGAGATTCTGTGTGGAAGCCCGCTGGCTGTGTTGTTTGTGATAGGAGATCCTGCACCAAAAGGAAACTGCAGTAATCTGAGACAAGCTTAGCTGGTGTTAGACTCAGTAGCTGAGAGGAAAAAAGCAGTTAATGCAAATGCTTGGGAGATTGTGGTGCTAATACTCAAGGCTAAGCTTAAATGTCTATTGCTGCCTTGAAAGGCTGCATCTGGAGGAGAGAAAAGCCCCGAGAGAACAAGCTCAGAAGCTCCACTCAGCATTTGCTCATTGTCATAAGCAGCAGAAAATATGAAGTTGGTAACTTTGAGACTTTGATACCTGACTTATAACAATGCAGATGATGGCTGGCTCGGGGGGAGATTGAACAAGTCGTAGAGGTGTCAAGTGGTCACTGTGATTAAAATGCTGCAATGTTTCTGTATTGTCAACTCTAACTGTAATGTCATTTATCAAGATGCTTTAAGAATCTAGTATGTATGTCTTCTCAGGGCTCTACACTGCCTGTCTATACAACCCCTTGTATCGTCAGACTTTATTTATGAAGCCACAATAGTCTGTCCTTGGCATAAACAACATCTCATTTCATCAGGCTGTTGCACCGTTGATCTCATGTTGTGCTTTACAACATATAGCACACTTGAAGAGGCAACCCACAGCATATTTGACCCTCTAAATGTTGTGTATTTATATATGTCTGTTTTCAATGCAAATATAATAAGTGCTGAGATAAGTAGTTACACGACAGAACGTTAATCATCAACAATTTTAATGTGTGCCGTCTACAGCTTCTTAAATATTACAAGGTGCTGCTTCGCCCTATTTTATTTCATTTTAAATTTAGCCTCTTATTTGGACTGTTGTTTGGACTTTAAACCTTTGAACTCTGAGCATATTGGTACGATTTCTTTAAAAAACATGGGGAAATAGGCAATGTGCAACTTGGTGAGAAAATATCCCACAAATTGAAAAAAAAAAAATAATAATAACAATAATAATGATAATACAAATTAAATATTTAGAAAATTATAAAAATAGAGAAAAAAGAAAAGAGCTAGGGAAAATGTTATTTATAATAATAATGATAATAATTCTTATTATTATTACATTTAAAAATTATGTTGCAGGATATTTTTTTTTTAATTATAAAAAAATTGTTTTTAACTTTATTTTTTTCTTTTTAGCTATTTTTTGGGGTCATTTCCTCTTTCATTGCTCATTGCCTTCTTTGTTGTTAACAGAAATCAAGTCAATTTGCTCAGGTTTCAAAAGGTTAATGTTCAGTGTGTGGTGTTTAGGGGTGTATATTCACAGAAATGAAAGATAATATAACAAGTATGTCGTTTTTTACATTTTTTATTGTTATATAATCACCTGAAAATAGGAATCGTATTTTCCAGGGATGCACAATATTGGATTTTGTGCCAGTATCCTTTATGCCAATATTTAACTACTCATTTGCCCAAAAACCGATACTGATATCAATATATCCACTTTTTTCCCACCTAATTTTAGTGATCATCAAGTCTCTTCTGTAGTGAAGTTAACATCATATTATGAATGCCTACTGTTATCGTGACGGCCCACCAGATGGAGACATGAAATACAGTGCTTTTTAATCTGTATAATATTAATTAATTGTGCATATTAAGAAAAAGTATGTTCACCGATTCAGATGTTTCATTTTAAAGCTGATATCGTCCAACACTGATGACGTGCCGATATTATTGTGCATCCTTAGTGTTTTCGTTACCTTAGAATGAGTTGTTTATATCTAAATAGGGAGTAGGTTCTCGTCCACGAAGATTGCCATGTTCATGTTGTCATGTTCTAGGGCTGTCAAAATTGCTCAAAAATGACGTTTGAATATTCCTTCTAAAAATAACTCATAGGTTCGAACCATTCGATTTTTTTTTTTCTTCGCATTATGTCCACAAGAGTACAAACTAATACAAGGAAACATACTTGTATATGTATTAATACAAGGAAACATAACTACTTGTAGGTATTTTTATTTCAACATAAACGTCTTTGAAAACATTTACATACCTACACATTAAAACACATAAAACAATTATCTATAACATTACGTTAGAAGTGACCGCAGACCTCTCGCTTGCCCCCCCCTCTCTGACCCGTGGCCACACCGCCCGCGGAAGCGCTGCGAATAGCCTCGAAGCGCCTCGAAGCGAAGCCAGTTTCCTTTCGGCGCCCATGTTAACCGATTGTGTCATCCACACCGGCTGCGCCGCGCCGCGCAGCTCCGTTTCGGCGCCGCGAGCACATGTGTCAAGCCGAGGGGTGACGGAGGCAACAGCTGGGAGCAGAACCGCTTGTCGACCAGCAGCACTACCGCAGGCGGTGTGGCCCTGGCGTTTATGCAGTGCGTTCAGTGCAGCGGCCCAGAGGGCTCGCAAAGAGGACAGCTGCGGTGATGTTTTTTTTTTTCTCCACAATCAAATATCAATTTTCACATTCGAAGGTCCATTTTTTTTTTTTTTTTTTCAAATTCGAATTTAAATTCGAATTTAGAATATTCGTTGACAGCCCTCTGGATGGCGCCATTTGCATTTTCACGTCAGCCACCGTAGTTAGCAGCCATTCTGTGACAAGAGTTTTGTTTTTTGTTTTTTTTTTTTATTCAGTGTTTTTACCGGTTTTAATCAGCAGGTCCATTTGTTAAACCTCCTGAATGTCTCAGCCTTAAGCTATCAGTTTAAAAGGCTAGTAGCCCGTCTTCGGCGAATAGTGTCAGAGAAACTCTGAACTGCTTTCTTCAGTGTTCTTACAGGTTTTAATCACTGAGTCTGTTTGTTTTGGAGAGGAAGATGCCTCTGCAGATAGTTTGGCTCCCTGTTAAAACCTCCTAAACAAAGAACATTGAAAGAATTCTGATTGGGGGAGTTTCAGCTGGATGCAATGTGAGTCCTCACCACTAGATGCCACTAAATCCCCCTAAATCTTACATCAGTTTCTGTAATGGACACCTCTGTGGGCTCAGGGAAACTGTGCTGGGCTTTAATTTGAAGCTAAATTGAAAATGACAGCTGAAAAATAGGACACTTTTCAATCCATCACAACAGGTTTAGCTGTCACATCAAAACTGTGGGCAAAAAATGTGTGTGAGAGTAGCAACACTGTAGTGAGGTGGTTCAGCAAAGCACATCATGTTATAACCACATCCCGTATTAGAGCTTTCAATAACACAGAGCTTCATTTTAAGACAAAGATGGGAAATAAGTGTGCATCATGGGAGGTGATTCAGCACCAATTGTTAATTCACATTATGAACACACACAGCACCGTCGCCTCAGGAGGGATAATCTGCAATCTCATTTTGGTTTAATTCAGGCTGGTATTTCCCAGGTAACTGCATCCTGTGACGACTGGGAGCTGGAGGAGGAAGAGGAGAATCAGCTCAGCGCCGGCTCCTGGAGATATTAATGAAACAAGGCATCAGGCGGATCCTTGGTGAGAGGAGGTGTATTTACTGAGGCTGTCAGGATGGAGAGATGGAGTCCAAACTACTGGTGTGTTACAGCTGCTTTAATTGACACCCTTAACTTTTCTGTAGGTGTTGGATTGGTGATAAAAACTGTGACATCATGCTTGTGCTACTGCCTTTGATACCTGCTTGCAAAGTATTTCAGGGGCACTAAGTCAGATTTTACAGCCCTGGAGTGACTGGAGGAGTTTATTGGCTTTATTCATTAATACCACTGATTTATTTGCCACTAAACAGCGTCTGATTCAACACTTAAATGTCACCCTTCTGTACTTTGACTAGCTTTTAACCCTGTTTACATGCTTGTCTTTTGCAGGAAGATGGGTGATCATCTCCGCCTGTCAAGCTGATCATCAATGGTAGGAGCTGCTTCATGCTTCACTTTGCTTTCTTGTTTAAATGCAACTCTTCAAACCTGCAGGATCACGTGCTCGCTTGCTGTTTATGCTTGTAGATTAATGTTGTGGTTGTGTTGGCGTTGGTCGTGTTTGCAGAAGCTCTGCAGCTGTTGTTGGTGTTTGCGAGCTCAAAGTGTTTTTAACAGTTGTACGTGGAAGTTTGTGACTTGCTGCGTGAGGATTATCGATGGCTGTATTGAGCTGAAGGAGGTGTTTGTGAATAAGTTGTGTCAGTGTTTGGACAGATGCTTTTATTACACTTTTGTTATGTAAGCAATGCTCTTATTGAGATGCTATTCCCACCCTGCTTTCTAGAGTCTTACCTTGTGTCACAGTAAAAAAAAAGGAGGGGATTTGTTCAGGTCTGAATACTTTAGGACTGGAATGTGCCAGGAAATCTTTTTTATTAGGTCTGCAGTGGTCCTCAGAGTCCTCATGAATAAATAAATAAATGAAAGCTGACAGTACAGGTTTTAAAATGAAAAGAACAATATAAACAGGTAAATAAATAGCCTGCATGATGGCATGAAATTAAGCCCCAGTCCCAAATGTCTTCCCTAATTTTGTCTCTACCGCTCATAAAACATGGCGAGCACATGTTCATCTATGCTGCTCCTCCCGGTCACGGGTCTGAAGAAGAGTCCCGCCACCGCCTCCGGGTCCATGGACCGCAGCGTGCTCAGGACCGCGCGCAGCCTGCCGAACCGGCCCACGTTGCCGCGGCACGCCGTCCTCACGTGCTCGTAAAGCGCGCGCTCTGCCTCCGTGTGGAGCGCCTGGATGTAGTCCCGACACTCCAACTCCGTCACCTCTGCAGGAAGGATACACACAGGGACACACATGCAGCCTGGGATTACGCACAGGTGATGGAGTGATGTCTTGTACCCTAAAATTACGCACAGGAAAATTGCGCACAGGGTGATGGAGTGATGTCTGATACCCTGAAATTAGGCACAGGAAAATTACGCACAGGGTGATGGAGTGATGTCTGATACCCTGAAATTAGGCACAGGAAAATTACGCACAGGGTGATGGAGTGATGTCTGGTACCCTGAAATTACGCACGGGGTGATGGAATAAATTCAATCTGTGTCAGTGGCCCTATAAAGAAGTCTGCTGGGCCATAGGCTACAAAAATGATCTGTGGTAGTCACATGAATATAATCCACAGTGAAATTAATTAGACTGTGGCATGTAATTATGTCTCATGAATATCACAGTGAGACTAGTAGCTAATTATAGTCACACAGCAAAACTCATGTAAGTAACAGACAACAGTACTGTCTCCTACCCGGGGTGAACAGTATCGCTCCCTTCAGGAAGGCGTACTCCTTGACGCTGATCCTCAGTCCCCTACACCTGACCAGAAACATCTTGATCCCCTCGGCGTCACTGACAGGCACCCCCGGGTGTTGAATCTCGGCCGGAGCGCGCTGCTGCCGCTCCTTGCTGTGCGTTAAAATCCTATGCAACAGACTGGGCTGCTGCGTCTCCACCGTGTCGAAGTCCACGGAGTCCTGCACCATGCCCAAAACCAGCAGCGGCGCCCAGCTGTTGCGCACCAGCCGCAGCTGATCCTCCGCCGGCAAACCGCGAAAACACGGTACATTTTTCACGAACTTGAAAGTTTTCACGAGCACCTCCGAGGCCGCTTTGAAGACTAAGTGTGGAGCTCGAGTCGCCACCAGTTTCCTCTTGGAGGCGCAGGAGCAGAGCTGGTGCGCAGCGGGCGTCTCCTCGGTGCCTCTGTTGAGGATGCTGTAGAGGATGCTCCCCCGCGCTGTGTCCTCACTGGCTCTGCACTCACAACACGACATGACGCTCCTCAAAGCTGCGCGATTGATCATGGGCTGGATCATCTTTTTATAGAGTAGACTTGGGGAACCAGCCCTCCCTAAATAAACCAGAAACAGGTCCGGTCAAGGATTTTCACAATAAAAGCATAACAATGAAGCAGAAAGTAACTGTGTAGCAGCTACTCGATATCAATTTTCAAAACAGCTAGAAGTCACTTACACTATAGATAAAAGAAAATTAAAGTATAGCTGACATTTCTTTTTTTAGTAATCATATCCTAAATATCTCACACTTCAAAATATAATACCCTATACATAAAAATTGAAGTAAAAACGTGAAGTAAAATAACCTTTAAAGTTGAAGCCGTGGTTACTGTCGGCATTATGCTTGATTCCATCTCATCGTTTTGGACTGTTGTAGGAGTGAATGTTATTATTTTGGTAGTAATATTATTATGAAACAAATATGTGATTATTATTTATATGTACAATTTAATCAATTATTCATGCCGCCTTCCCTCAGGGTAAGTTTGCCTCCTTCCTGTTGTTTAATGGAGTAAGGCTGGGAGAGTAATGAGCGCAGCAGTAGACAGTGGCGCTGAAAGTCTGATGTGAACCAAGAGAGAGTTGAGTTGGGTGTGTGTCTTGACATGTGGTAAATATGAAGCTTTAATTCTGAAGGTAAAACCAGCCAATATCCAGTCGTACTCCAGCTCTCTGTAGCTGGCTCAGTGTAATCTCCAAAGAGGCTTATTGTAGGCTAATAAGTAAAGCCAGGGCCCGCCCCAAGCGGACTTGATTTGGGGCCCTTTCCTCATTGTGTGTACGCCCAAAGCGTCAATCATCTGTTTTGCATAGGCACACCATGTGCTTGTTTGTGGTGACTGCAGCAGACCTTCAGCAGCCAACAGCTTATTGTGCAGCCAGAGTTTCATAAATAAGTGGGAAAATCCCCTCGGCTCTGTCTCACAGGCTTCGTTTGAAATGCTTTGAATCAGTGTGGCGAGAGGGGAGTATGTAAAGTCCTGTTTGTCTATGCAAAGTCCTGCAGATGGGTTTCAGAGGCTGGGTGGACTCCTTTACATGTGAGATCCATTTTATGAATTCAGTACAAACATGGAGGCAACAGGCTTGTACCACAGAGTGTTTGTACGTCACTGTAATCACAACTGTGCATGTATTCATGAATCCATCTTTGGATCTATCAGACAAGAAACACACAGAGAGAGGCTTAAAGGGGAACTTTGGTATTTGTCCCATGTCTTTGTGTCTAAGTGACTGATGGAGACAACAATTGTTTAAATTGGTCCAGCGCTGAGCGAGACGGCAGTTGAGCACATTACCACTCGGGGCAATAGAGCTCTGTCAATGTACGTCCAGTGAAAGTGCTTGTTTTAAAAGATCCCTACAGCAAAAAAAAAAAAAAAAAAACACTTTATCTTTATGTATATCTTATCAACTCAACTTGAGAGACTTCAGAATGAGACTTCTGCTTCAGCGAGACTTGGTTAGACACATTATTAAACATATTGGATCGAGCGAAAGTTGGAGTCAAACTTTAATTTATTGGTCAGACACTTATAATAGCAATCTGAGCCTGTCAGTGGCAAAATCAAGCACTTTTAATGGACGTACATCGATGCTGCACCATTAACCCGAAGATTAGACTGCAGCCTGTGCCATGGCTGCAGTCTAATCTTTGGGTTAGACTTCAGGTGCTTAATACCCGACCAATTTAAAAATTGTTGTTCCCATCAGTCACAAAAACGTGGGAAAAGAGGGTCCAGGTTTAAGTTTCAATGTGGTTGTCTAGAGATTTTTGTGTTTGATTGCAGCAAAACTCTTCCTGAGTTCTTACTCTCTTTAGCAGCAGTTTGAGTTCTTGACTTGCGGGGTAGATAATTGATCAGTCAATCTGATCAGAGCTGGTTAGATCAGATCGATGAGAGGAGCAGCTGCTGCAGAGACAGGTGAATGCAACCTCTTAGACCCAGCACAATGAACGGTTAGGTTTCGCTCTGTCTGTGCCCAGAGATTGGAGCAATGAATAGCCAAACAGTACACACCACTCAGCCAATACATTAAAACCACAGGTGGGTGAAGTGAACAACAGTGATCATGCTGTTACAGCGCTGTTGGGAAACCTTGGGTTCTGACACTCATGTGGATTCTACTTGATGTGCTCCACCCTGCAACGGCACTGGTCGAAGGCAGTGGCCCCCCAGCAGGACTTTGTACCATGCCACACCACAAAAACTGCTCAGAAATGACCCCAGGAACTGGACTGACCTGTCAAGGCATGGACACAGGACCTCTGGAGAGTGTCCTATAGTGTCTGGCACCGACGTGTTGGCTTCAGATCTTTTGAGTCCTGTGGGTTGTGAGGTGGGGTACCAGCATGTCCCACGGATGTTTGATGAGATGGAATTTGGAGGCTAGGTTGATGCCTTGAGCTCTTTGTCTCGTTCCTCGGACCATTCCTGAGCAGTTTTTGTGGTGTGGCGTGGCGTATTGTCCTGCTGGGGGGCCACTGTTGCCATGAGGGGGGGGGGTACCTGGTCTGCACTGGTGTTCAGGTGGCATCCACATGAATGTCAGAACCCAAGATTTCCCAACAGAACATCGCACTGTAACAAGATGATCAGTGTTGTTCACTACACTTGATGACAATCAGAAACTAAATATCAGCTTGCATTTCAAACCAATCAAACCGGAGAAACAAATTACTCGCATAGTTATTTGATTACATAAATGTTCGTCTCTTCAAACAATAAATGTGAGGCGAATGAAACATACTTTGATACCTTTATCGCAGATTTTTGCACATGAAGGTCAGTAAACTTTTGCAGTTGTAGGCTGCATCCTTAAAAACATCTAATTTAACTGCAGACACTACAGAGGACGAACTTACTCACCATTTTCAGTGATGCCCAAAACAAATGAAGCCAAACTGACCTGTGCAGGCTAATTTTCATTTCATCAGTTGCACATTTAATTTATGTATGAATCTTGGCCAGTTGAAAAATATATTATGGAGTGATTGTAGCCTTGTAGGTAAGAAAAGGAAGTTGGAAACTTGAACTCGAGTTCAGCAGAATCTTTTTGAGATCGTCATGTGGTTTTAGTCAGAAAGTCTTGCAGCTGAATCCTCTGCTTTTTGTCACAATGTGAAGGACAGTAAAGTTTCCTGACACTGAGTCTAATCACACCAAATCAGTCGTTTTTCCACACAGCCATTAGAGTTTGATTCTATTTCCTCAGCCACAGATTTTAAAGCAGCCGAGTGACACAGGCATAAAAGGAAAGTGCCCTCAGTGTGTAATTACCTGACAAGGCCAGACGTTTCTCCTTGTGCAGAAAAGAGTTTCTATAGTAACAAAGAGTAGCAGAAAACATACGTCTGAATTCAGCCCAAGTACAAATTATGACAATTTTACAAAGCTCATTCCAGGATGTAAGTGGGATGAATATTATGCAGGACTCTGAAGGACTCAGATGCTTTTTATTAAAGTTTTTGCTAATGATCCTTTACTGTATTTCTCAGGGTTGTTTATGAGGAGTTTCATTCACCACCAGGGCCTCTCACACCTTTTCAGATTGCACTTAAACAGGCTCCAATGCTGAGAAAAGCCTTGAGTCAAAACAGAGAGAGCCGTCCTTTTGTTTCAGTTTTGTCTTTATATCCCGTGTATGAGAAGAAGACCTTCTGCCGAAACACGTAGCTCTCACACGGAGAGCAAAATCTATGATTGTGTTTACCATTAGTCATATACTGTGTGACCTGCATTTTACTCTGCCACTTCAAACACACTGTATAAGAGACTGTCTTTTTCAAGTTATCAATAAGCAAAGTGTCGTGAGTCTTTTTTTTGTCGGTGTTACATGCCCTTTCACTGCTATTAACTCCAATGTTTATTTAGAAATGAAGGACATCATTTTTGGAAGAAGTTGTATCCATCTCTTTTGTTTTCTGAAATTTGAAAGTTGGGATCTAAAAATGAACACCTTCCAAGCGCCAAATGTAGGTAGATTTTGTGTGTGCCGAGATAACCTTTAAAGGCTTTCTGCCACCCTGTCGTGTGACTCTTCGTACCAGAATAGTAGGGATGCACCGCTTTATCGGCCTGCATCAGTATCATGACATTCACCAATGGCAATAGCTGATGTTTTTTTTGTTGTCACATCAATTTTGCGCAGGCTAGAAAGCAGGACTCAAGACTTATAGCATCGCGGGAACAATAGAAAATGTGTTTAGGATGAACAGAGATCTTTCCCCGGGACGAAAGGAAGCAGTAAAGTCACTATTGACATGTCAGGGGATGCATCCCATGTTTCCCTGAGAGGGCGACATTGTGAACAACAAATCTGTGTTGACATCAGTAGAATGGAGGTTGTAATGAGTTACTTTATGATGCATTTAACCTGTAAGCCAAGGTAAATTCTAACATTCTCATGATGTGTTCAAATGTAATCCTCTAAAATGTAGTTTGAGGGAGAAATTTTTTGTTTAAAAAATGTTTTTCACGTGAAAGAATACGTATGATTAAATCTGTGCTCATGCTAAGGTGATGTAATGAGGGACTAAACTACTTTAGAACGAGGATTTCTTCGTTTCCCTGGCACAAAAGGGGGGATAAATAACTAAAATAAACAATAACAGCAAAAAAAAAACTTCACTATCTATATCGGCTGTTGGCTGTTGGTCAAATTGAGTTTGTTTACATGGACAGTTTAATTCCCTTTTCATTCGGAGTGAAAGTTCATTCCTATTAAAAGTGATCTTGTAAACACCTAATTCAGAATGAAAATGGCCAATGCGATTGAAAATTCATTCCGATGTAAGGGGCTGGAATATTCCGTTTCTAGTTCCAAATGAAAGAATTTCTCGCACTTGTATACACTCATTCCTCTTTAAGTTCATTACGGTCTTTCTGCGCATGCTCGTTCCCTTGCCCTGCTGGCGCGATGACGTATATAGTGCGCGCCCGACTCGTTGCACTAACCGGTTTCCATTCGCCACAGCACGATCTCCTACCTCCCTTCTTCGACCTTCTACCTCCCTTCTCTTCCTCAACAGACGAAGCATTAGCAGAACAAGGTTGTTGTCGTACTGCTGCTTCAAGAATATAAGCAAAACAAGCCAGAAAAAGGCACTAAGAATGGCGTCGTCAAGCATCTTGTTATCCGGAGCGAGGACTAGTGTTTGCTTCCGGTAAACGTAAACACGTAACATCAGCCCCACCCAGAAACCTTCCCTGCCCCAAACTTTGCACTCACCCGAATACAGGCGATTAAAACTGATTAAAACTGATCTCCCGTGTAAACCCTCATTCGGAATGAATATTTCCCATGTAAACTACCTGGAAAAACTTTAATTCCAAATGATGGCGCTCACTGATATGGACACACTAGAAAACATGATTTTAGGGCATCTACACAGGGCGTTTACTGCAAAACTGACCGTCTCAGGTATTGCAAGAAGAGGGTGGTTGCGGTAGAGGTTGAGGAGTCTGATGAGGAGGTTTCAGTTGATTAAAATCATTAAGTATCGGCAGGTTTACGAAACCTTCAAATGGACTTTTATGTTTGACCCTTAAGTGGATTTAACAGCAAATACTTGAGCCGAATTCTGAGATCAAGACTTCTTGAGTTGTTTTCAGGCTTCAATTATGTAGCCGTTGATCCAACCAATGGCTTCTTGAAGTCTGTATTCAACATAATACCCTATTATCTCTTGGAATGTAGTGAAACAAATGTATATGTGACACAAAATGGCGATTCAACAAGTAAAATATGTGCTTTGACAGAGAGTTTATACATCCATCAGTCTCTTTCGGCCGATGTGAAAGTTAATTTTGGGCACAAGATAATTATGTTGTGCGTACAACTTAATTAATTTGTTCGCACAAGATAAGAAACTTCACCTCATGGGACTTTAGGTTCTCTGTACAAACCAGTCTTTATCAGACCTTTCACTCAGTCTAGTGTGAAGCCTGTGAGGCTGCAGTCTGTTATTTATCAGTTGACTCTAAGAACTCTTGTTAAGCTGTCAGTCTTTGCACAGGTATTATTACTGTAGCTCAGGCAATATCCGAGTAAAGAAAAACGCTCGCAGTATCCAGTAAATCAAAACAAGACAAGCACCCGACGCTGGTTCACGAGTTGCTGCTGACCTCTCATCATATCACAGGATTTCCTGCTTTCTCAGCTCAAAGCAGCCGATTCATAACTGCAGGAGCGAGCAGTGACTTATCTGTGCTTCAGAGCCAGAGTACACAGTCAAACAGCCATCTCTGCAAACACACCGCGCAGGGGGAAAAAAAAACAGTCCGCCGTGAAGCGAGGCCCCGAGATGAGCCAGCAAACTCCCCGGTCCATTTAGCACTGAGTTATTCCATCAGGCCTGTCTGTCTGTCTCTTGAGGTAAAACATCAGTCACCCATCAGCTCGCCGCGTCTCACGCGACTGATAGGTTCAACCTTGGACACAAGGACGGCAGGCGGACGGATAGGCAGCCTATCACTGCTGGCAGGGGAGGACCTTTTATCTGGAGACTGTCAGCTCTTCAGGAATCTAGAGAAACGGGCCCTTTTTAACTGATCGCTGTCTCTTAAGAGGGACTGTTAGTTTGGACAGAGTTGAGTCAACATTTACTCAAGCTTTCTAACTTTCAATTTTGAAATCTCTAAACTGACAGGCTCAGATTGTTGTAAGTTGATATGTAGTGTGTGAAATAGAGTATGGTGAATGTGCTAGGAAAGGTAGTATCAGCACGGTCATTACCTGGAGCTCGCATGTACGGAGCCTGGGTTTATTGAAGGTGGCAGTGCTGTTTAGGCTGAGAAAGCCTGTGAGTTTATCTTCTCTATCTCCTTTAACTTTAGCTCATATTGGAGTTATGATATGTAGCGTGTGAAATAGAGTATGGTGAATGTGCTAGGAAAGGTAGTATCGGCACGGTTGCTACCTGGAGCTCGCATGAACGGCACCTGGGTTTTTTTTTTACTGAAGGTGACAGTGCTGTTTGGGCTGAGAAAGCCCTGTGTAAGTAAGGTAAAGGAGGTTATTGGGTTGGTGCGGGGAGCAGTGAGACCTGGCATTAGGGGAGTGTCTCTGGGACGCCAGAGATCACTGTCTAGCCTGCTGGAGGTGTCGTGGGACCAACTAGACGAAACACTGGTGAAAGGAGGTTCCCACCTGATGACCCCCAAGACGTGTTAGTTATCACTGCTCACTGGTCTGTATAGTTAAGCCTTGCCATAATAGCTTATCATAGGGCTTAGGAGGTTATTCACTGAGCGCTGATCCTTTCTCTAGAGCACACATTTCTTGTGTTTATTTGAATGAAAGTGTCCTACAAGATTATTGAATGGATCCCTACAGAGATAGACCTGAGTAAGATCTTTTACGTTTAACCAGAAACTGCCCCAAAATCCCATCATCAAACCCACCAGACTCCATTTAGATAAACTAATTTTATCATCGTTAAACACACGTCATTCAAAGTCAGCGGATACAAAATAAAACTCTCAGAAACAGTGGTTCATCTTTCCACTGTTTTGACAATTAGCAACTCTTGTTTGGGTCAAATAAACTCTTAATTCACCCAGTGAGATGTGAAAACATGCTGGTTTGTCAATGGCAATTTGGGGCTGTTCCTGGTTAAACAAAAAGAATCTTACTCTTTATCCAAACAGATTGTTTAGCCACTGCTAGAAAGAGTTAGTAGTTTAACCTCTAGTTCTGAGGCTGCAGGCCCTGTGTGATAATGTAAAACAGGCTACTGGTGTTACGTTGAGTAAGGTTAGTTCTTCTATACTGTCTTGAAACGTGCAAGGAATTCATGAAAACATGCATCTTTTGCATGATGGCATTAATGGCTGCAGGGGACTGATATTGAATTCATCATATCTGTAATAAGTATGATAGTGTTTCTTACCTGAGTTTAAAAAACACGCTTATCTAGCATTTACAGTCTGGGAGAGATGACTCATCCACTCCCATTTCATCCCCTAACTACGACATCAAAATCAGTTTTCTTCACATATTCAGCGTCACACTGGGCGAGCAACTGATATAGAAATGACCATTTTGTGGGTGACTGCAAAAAAGCTGCAATTTTTTCATAAATCGACAACATATCAGACAGGATGTAAGTGTTTCTGTGACTTCCTGTACAGACTGAAGGCTACTGGAAACTGTCCGACCACAGCTTTTTGTCACTGCTTCCTGCTCCTGCGGCCGCCTGCTCTCGTCTGCTTTCCCGGCAAGGCGCAGTTCATCTCGAACTAGCCTAACCTCAATGACGCTTCTGCTTTTGAGTCCGCACCACAGTGTGATCTGACCAGACTCAGGCCATCATGAGCTCTTGCTATCAGTCTGTTGTGAGATATTCTTCAGTTTCTGCCTCTTACGAGTTTGTGGCACTTAGACCATTGTCTTTTGTAATCTGGGTGAACTGACCCCTTTATAAAGCAGAGAGCTGGCAGCTTGCCTTGTCGGGTCTCAGTGCTGTGGATTTGTTCCCTGGTTGCGGTGTCCTGTTGAAACTTCCCACGCTGCACAGCTCATAATGTGCAGGCTCTTACATCACTTATTGGATTGGAGCCGTCGCCTGCAGGCAGACACTCACTATGTCCTTGATGACCAAACTTCAGCGTGCTGCTTTGATATTCGTTCGCTCGGTGTGTGAACCCGGACGTTCGCCATGGCGATGCTTTAAGGGGCAACCAGTGTGTTTAGTCCTTGGGTCTTTCATTTTGAGTTGACTATCGAACAGAGGGGGAAAAGCAGGCTTAAAATGATCTGTCAGACGTTTGTAGTTGAACTGAAGAGCTCTTTAGCTGGAAGAAGTAGTTGTCTTTCCGTGCCCGGACATTTATGAGTTGTTTTGAAAGGTTGCTAAACATATAAAAACAAGAGTGACAGTGTTGAAAATCAGCCAGGACAAAAAATGTTCTATTATTTTTGATGGCGCAAAATAAATGTTAATGGTCAAGCATCTGAATCGCTGAAAAACTTAATTAACTTGTGTATGTCCGAAGCATTACTTATCAATGTCAAGGGCACCTCAGCAGCACAGGCCTTGGATTCAACCAGTAAACACTGAACGAGGCTTTGCAATCCTCTTTTAATGACACCTGTCTCTCCTTGAAAAGCGCTTCCAATCAATACGCATGGAAAGAAACTGGTTTATTTAGCTGTTCCTGTGTTACTTAACACGGGCCCGCCAGCTGTTTGAGCAGAGCTTTATTTTTGCACGAAGATTTCAGTGAGTTCTCAGAGAAAGTAGATTTATGACTCAAGCAAACAAACAATGCGATATTGTATTATTTATGAGAGGAATGTGATTTTTATATAGACCTTCATTACGCTTTCCTTGTGGGCATGACATTGAATATAGAGTAGATTTACATAGTTGCGTCTGTGGGAGCGTCTCTCATTAAAACCGGATCATTGAGGAATCCAATAGACAAATCTTCACTTGTTACAACAAGAGCAACAAGACAATATCCAGAAATGATGTTTGTTTTGCAGACTGAATTAACTCCCTGTTGGACGTCTAAATCCGCACATAAAACACTACAGAATAATCACACTCACTCACACATCAGGAAACCAGAAGGAAGACGAGGCGGCGTACTTTAAACACGTAAAAGGAAATATATTTTTTTAAAAATGAAATAACAAAAAAGAACAACATTTCATACAGAAGAGCTGCTTTTGTCATTTGCAGAGGTAATTTACACAGGACTTGAAATGAAAACACTTTACTGGAAGTGGAACAGCAGCGGTCGCACCACGCAGCTGATAGTATTGACTTTTTTTAAATTATTTTTTTGTCTACGGCCCTTCGACTGATGTGCCTACATGCTGCGGGCGGGCACGGCGGCGCTGTGCCACTTCTGGTAGAGCATGAAGAGGTTATGTCACATACTGAGCTTCTTTTAAGGGTTAATATACACTGGCTCTTGGTAATTCACTCGTATGACGTACGCACCATTGAAACATTTACACACAAAATTTAGTTATTTTCTCTCCCTCGAAACAAGAATACTCCTTTATATTTTTAAAGACAACAGTTAACAGTTCCAAAATGGTGGCTCTAGGATTGGATTTTTCCCACCTACATGAGGCCCTCCCCGTCCACAAACATTCCTATGAACACTTTATTCTAACAAGCATGGCTCTCTAATAGAAGAAGAAGAAAATGGTTGTCGTGGCGCTCTGCCTGGCAGAAACCAGGGGTGTGCATAGGTGTTACAGACGTCCTCCCCGAGGCTCAGATAAGGCAGTTTCTCCTTTCTGTTAGTTTTTTGTCTTCCAGGTCAGGGGCCATGTTTAGTGGTCGATGTGGGTGATTTTTCGTAGCTGATCACGCCCCAAGAACGATATTCCACGTCCACTGATTTCATGTATGGAGGGAGAGGGGTGAAGACAGCCCAAATATAAACGATGAGGTGACGAGATGCAGTACACGTCTTATTCATTGTCCATTTTGTGCAAACCGAGATGTAAACAAAGACCATGGGAGGTTGGGAAGAGAAGCATGGTACAATAGGCTACAGCAACACACAGAGACAGCGTAGAGGGATGCAGTGTGCTCCTTCAACAGACTGACAGGCACAGAGGGCCAGAGAAATAAATAAAGGGCAGGGGAGGGCGAGGAAGAAAGAAACTGCCAAGTTTCCTGTGCTTTCTGCTTCACTCAAACTTGCATTTGGAGCTGAGGGAGTTACTTGTTGCCACTATAGCAGCTTCTAATGTGCTTTTAAAGTTCGGCGTGTTCGTCACAGAGGCCGAGGAAATTAGGGGGACGTCAGGGAGGAGGACACAGAGTACCACAAGAGGTGCCTTAAAAGGTCAACACACACACAGGCACCCACATAAGACTGCTTTATGGTCATGCTCACTATTGCCTTTCCAATATTACCACCCATCCATCAATTACAAAAGAAAAGTACAAAATATCTACCACACTGCCCCTCCACTCCCCACCCTTCAACTAGGACAGAACCATATTCACTTAGTGTTTTATCATTTATATATATATATGTATATATGTACACAACAATATGCCTTTGAGGCTGTTGAGAAAAAGGGGGCGGGGCAGGATGAAGTCTCTGTAGTGATGCGTCAGAGTCATTAGTGTTTCCCTCTTTTTCAACAACAGTTTATCTACAGAGATGCGTGATTCTGATGAGAGAGACGTGATTCGAGGGGCTTTGACCCAAGTTTAGCATCTGTGTTGGATCAGAGATGGATCGTTCAGGGTGATGAGCTCATTCATGTTGAGTGTATGTCAGTAGACCCAGGAGACGGGGACCCACTGAGAGGTGGTGGACACCAGGTCTACGGCCTCCTCCAGCAGTCGGATGGTGTCATCAATCTCATTGTTAATGATGGTCTGGTCAAAGTAGTGAGCGTAGGTCCCCTGCAGCATCTCTGATTCCTTCTGGAGCCGCTGCAGAGAGTCGTCCTGAGGGGGGGATTGAGAGAAAAAAAAGAGAGACGGGGTTTAATGGCTGTTTGTCACATGTGATGTGCTCCAGGCTGCATTTGTGGTCTGGTTCTGTATGTGCAGACTTTAATTCACACGTTTAGAATAACAGAGTCGCATTTGTTGTGTAACGGCTGTTACTGACTTAGATCATTTGCAACGTTTTATACTACAAGAGATTTATGTATGTTATAATAAATACCATGAAGAAAATATCATTACAAATAGTAATAGTGAGTGAAGCAATAGTATAGTATAATATAGTACATCATAAAAATTAAAAAGGAAAAAAGTCTTAATATACTGTCATAAAAAAAAAACAGAAAATGCCATTAAAAAAGTCATAGTACAGTATCATACAAAAACCTTTTTTTAAAAAGTGTAGTAAAAACTCCTCTAAAAATGTAAGAAAAAATGTATATATGTCATTTAAAAATGCTAAAAAAAAAAAAGTCTCAAAAACTCCATTAAAAATGTAAGAAAATCTTTTGTATAGTACGTCATTTAAAAATGCTATTATATACCATATTTTTTTAAAAAAAAAAAAAAAGTGTAGTGTGTTTTAAAAGCTCCATTAAAAATATGAGAAAGAAATTTGTCATTTAAAAATGCAATTATATGCCTTAAAATTCATTTGAAAAAGTGTCTTAAAAACTCCATTAGAAATGAAAAGTTATATAAATTGTAATTTAAAAATGCTATTATATGCCTTAACTTTTTTTTTAAAATGTAGTGTCTTAAAAACTCCAATAAAAATGTAAGAAAAAAAAAAATATGTTATTTAAAATGCTGTTATTATATGCCTCAAAAAAGTGCAGTGTCTTAAAAACTCCATTAAAAATGTAAGAAAAAAAGTCATAGTATAGTATTTAATAAAAATGCCATTAAAGAAGTTTATATATATAAATTATGTAGTATGTCATTAAAAAAAAAATCAGATAATGCCATTAAATAATTCATAGTACAGTTAAATTTTTGAAATAGTAACACCAGTAATATAATCTCATTCTAATAGTAAGTGACACTGTTTTGTTAAGAAAGCATAACTTGTGGTAACAAACTTATCTCCTTTGATGCTACATAGACCACCAATGCAGGCCTGAAATTAAGGACAATAACTGCAGTCTGGTTTGTGATATTGATCTGATAACAGGTAATAATGAAATAAATAATTCCCCGAATCACCCAGGACACAGGAGGAGAGTAAAAATAAAACAGAGGGTAGGGTTGGGCCAGAGGAGACAATGATGCATGAAGTCAGAAATGAAGATGCACCACTGAGAAAACACACAATTAGGAGGATTATTAGAGGGATTGGAGGAATAAGGGAGAACACAACTAGACAACTATTGGAGCTACACCAACACACAGGCCACACATGCCTTCTACACTTTCCACACCATGTGACCATTACTTACAGGCAGCTTCCTGCACCACTTTGGCATCTTGCACATGAAAACAGGCATGCCAAAGAAAATACAGACATGCTTAAAGCATACAAGACACATGCAGAAAACGCAGAGCAAAGCAAAACGTGGTGACAGAAATGAAGGTTTACATACAGTGAGACATTGCATGTTGATTAACAGGTTTGGAAAGTGTCCAAATTCAGACTCAAGTGACTGCAGTTAGACTGAGAGTTAGTACGTGCAAATAAACTTTAGCAGGAGGAAGCAAAGTATTTGTGACAGTACCTCAGTCATGCCTGGGGTGACAGTGGGAGCTGCGATGAAGACAACATAGGGAGCAAACTCAGCTGTCCTGAGGATCTTTAGTGCCTGGTGACAGAGAAAGAGAGAGACTTCTTGTAGTTCTTTATCCAAACTGACCAGTAACTATCACCAGATGTTTAAGATGTTGGTAACTCCAGGACTGGTTTGTTACCTGTGGTTCAACATCCAGGATGGAGATCATGCCCTGTGCATGGATCTGCCTGATGGTCTCCAGCCTGGTTCCATACATGGCGTCCTCGTGGCTGCCGTACTCCAGGTAGTCGTTGTTACTGATGTCCTGCATCATCTGGTCGTGAGACACAAAGTAGTAGTTCTTCCCGTTCTCCTCATCCTTCTTAGGAGGCCGAGTCGTGTCTGAGGAGAGATGGAAACCACAGTACATCAAATTTGGCACAATTTAATGAGTGTTTTGACTCGTCAACTCGTGGAAATTAGTCGCCAGGAACATCCCTAGTTGTTGTGTTAATTTGTGTAGTTGTCATGTCAGTGTGTGGCTGCTTACGAGGGATGGGGTAGGCGAAGCGGTCAGGATGTTTGGTGATGAGTGTGTTCTTGATGTGCCTCCTTCCAACTCCATGTGCACCTGAATGAAAAGAGACGGCTGAATTAACAGACACTCTTAACTACGACTCAGTAGCTTTAGATGCATGTAGTCTGTCGTCATGTGGGAACAGGTGGTCGTATAAATGGGGGGAGATCGTGACCCCTATGTCTGTTCTGTTGTGGTCTTCGGTGTCTTGATGTTCTCTAGCCCTTCCAGTTGATGCTATGTCAGGTGTTGCTCTGGTGTTCATTCAGTGATGTCATGGATGTTCCCTCAGTTGCTTGTTAAAAAAGTGTAAATTAAACTGTGATAGTAAAAGTCCAGTGGTTGGATGAGCAGAGGTTGGTTCTATCCTGCCAGCTGGGATCCTTTGGTAGCCACCATTTAATGACCATAACAGCTTCCTTCGTGGAGATACTGGTAAATGATGCACTTTGTGGTGAAGTGAACAACACTGATGATCTTGTTACAGTACAGTGTTCCCTTGGGTAATCTTGGGTTCTGACATTCATGTGGATGCTACTTGATGTGTTCCACCCACCCAAACACCATTGCAGACCAAGTAAACCCCCTCATGGCAACGGCCCCCCACCAAGACAATGCACCATGCCACATCACAAAAACTGCTCAGGAATGACCCGAGGAACAGGACAAAGAGCTCAAGGCGTAAACCTGACCTCCCCAGATCCCAACTTGATCAAACATTTGAGGGACATGCTGGTACCTCTGGAGGGTGTCGTGTAGTGTCTGACACCAGGGCGTTACCATCAGATCTTTTGAGTCCTGTGGGTTGTCAGGTGGGGTACCAGCACGACCCACTGATGCTTGATTAGATGGGGATCTGGGGAATTTGGAGGCCAGGTCGACGCCTTGAGCTCTTTGTCACGTTCCTCGGACCACCCCTGAGCAGTTTTTGTGGTGTGGCATGGTGCATTTTCCTGCTGGGGGGCGCCTGGTCTACACTGGTGTTTAGGTGGGTGGAGCGTGTCAGGTGGCATCCACATGAATATCAGAACCAAAGGTTTCCCAACAGAACATTGCACTGTAACAAGATTGTCAGTGTTGTTCACATCAGTCATCATCACACCTGTCAGTGGTTTTAATGTTTTGGCTGGTCAGTGTATAAAAAGGACAGCAGTTTCTGTGAAGGGAGCACGTTTTGTCTTTGATCTCCTGGACAATATCCCTATCATTTTTAATGTCCCATGCATCCCACCAAGGGCCCCTGATGGTTGAATAATCTTTGAATCTCTCTCAGATCTTTGTTTCACCAGTGAGATATTCGATTTTGGCAGCTTGGCTTACTCCAAATCCTGGCTACATCCTCCATGTAAAATATTCACTTTGTTCTGGTTTTTAATCTGCAGCAAGCTCAGTAGCTGTTTCAGTTCATCCACCATGACTCGATACCCTTAAATACTTCAGCCTTGGTTAGCTCTCACTGAGATGCTTTCATGACCCATTGGTTCTTACAAATAGTGTCTATCATCTGTAACTGTCCCAGTTTCTTGTGTACAGGTAAACCCTTTGTATCAGCTTCTTCATGTTAAGCCTCCTGGCTTACAGAAATCTTCATTATGGCTTCCTCAAAATGCTATTTGTTACAGTGTAGTTGTGCTACAAAGGTATTGCTCATAGCCATAACTCATTCAATTCACATTTGGGCATTTGAGTACTGTATGAAAATAGACTTGAAAATTCTGAAGTTGTTCTTTAATGTCACTGTGTACAGATGAGGTGTTGGAGAGTTTGTGGGGCTTCAAGGCTGAGACCAGCAGCAACCCTATGAAAATCCAGAGCGTCAGAAATCATCTGGAAGAAGTTGAATCAAACAGCACCATAAAACCGAGGTACACCTCAGACCTATTGACAATATCCTTAGTGGTTTGGTGAGGAAATATAGTGGGAAGACTTTAAAGTGCTCACTTGAACTACTTTGTCATATAATATTTGTCCTTATAGTTTACTATACTGTGACTTATTTTTATGGCATATTATTGTGTAACTGTAACATGGCATGCTATACTTTGAGTTCTTTGAGTTAGTTAGTTATTTATCGCATACTACCCTGTGTTTTTAAAAGACTTTCTGGGGGCTTTTAACATCTGTATTATCATCTTCTTATAGAGCAGCTGAGGATCGCCCCATCATTTTTTTATGGCATATATAGTATGTACATGCTGTACCATCAACTTTTAATATGACTACACTGCTAAAAAAATTTCATAGCAGTGTCAAAAAAGATTTTAGTATAGAATATTGAAAATAAATTTTGGGGAAAAAAAACTCAACATGTAAAGAAATGTAAAAAAGTCATATTACAGTATTTAAAAAAAAAAACAACAACCAACAGCTCAAAGTCAGTGTCAAGAATAAGGGGGGAAGAAAGTCGCATGTAGCATGTCTAAGAAAAGTCAAAGTATAGTATGCTGAAAAGAAGCACAGTATAGTATATTTTTAAAAAGTCATATTATAATGTGATGAAAAAATTTAAGAGTAAGCGTAAAGCATGTCAGAAAAAGTCAAAGTGTAGTGTGTTGAAAAAGGTGATTTTTTTTTTTTTTTAAATCTATAGTTAGCCATGTGTCTAAAGACACGCGCACACGCACCCTGTTGAATGTAGCAGCAGGGATAGCACAGTGGTGCAGGTCGCCGCCTTTNGTCCTTATAGTTTACTATACTGTGACTTATTTTTATGGCATATTATTGTGTAACTGTAACATGGCATGCTATACTTTGAGTTCTTTGAGTTAGTTATTTGAGATGAGGTGAGTGGGTACCTACGAAAACTTTTTTTTTTTTTTTGTTTTTTTGTTTTTGGCGTTAGCGACGCTAGTGCTAGCATTGACGCTACGTAATGCTAGTAGTAGCTAGTGCCTATATGGTTGATGCTAATTAGCTACTTTTTTCTTTTACGCTACGTAGCAACACGTTGCTAGTTAGATGCTAGCTTAGAAAAAAAATATGTTACTAGCTTAGGTACGTAGCTAGCTACACAGATTGTTGTCATTGCTTAGCTAGCTTAGCTTCCTAATCTTGCTAATTAGTAACAATATGTAGCTATTGTCTACGTAGCTGCAACATATTGCTAAATTGCTATGTAGCTTACTACGTTACGACCTTGAACCGTTGTAGCAGTTCATATATTAGCTACTAGCTTAGCAGTTAGTTGGTAGGAGCTAGCGCCAAAAAAAAAAAAAAAAAAAATTTTGTAGGTACCCACTCACCTCATCTCTCCCTACCTACCCCACCCCCGCAAGCCTCCTCCCCACTCTGCAATGGCCCAGCTGGGGAGACACGCTGTAACTGTTTTGTTCACGCTTTTAGCCACTGTGTATTAGACTATATTTTTACTAGTGTTGCACGTTACTCTTAGTTAATCTGTATTTTTAAAGCTAATTTGTCGAGGTGGGGGATGATGCTGACATCCCCACATTTCCCGGCGTCCTGACTCCTCCTTGCCGTAGCACTTTGTTTTGGGTGAGGAAGCAGCGTCGGATTCGAACCCCGGTCTCCCGCATGAAAGGCGGCGACCTGCACCACTGTGCTATCCCTGCTGCTACATTCAACAGGGTGCGTGTGCGCGTGTCTTTAGACACATGGCTAACTATAGATTTTAAAAAAAATCACCTTACATCACCTTTTTCAACACAATAATAGGACTTTTTAAAAATATACTATACTGTGTTTCTTTTCAGCATACTATGACTTTTTTATGACATACTAAACTCTGACTTTTGAGGGTTTTTTGACATGCTGTAATGTGACGTGTGTCATAAATAAAGGTCATAGTATATTGTGTAAACTGTTCACTTACCAAGCAACACCAGTGTTTTCCTTTTGAATGATGGCACTTTGACCACTTCCTCATACGTCACCAGATCTAATTGGTCAAACACTGAAGAACAGAGAAACATAAGGTTAACATAGCATCAGCTATAAAAGGCAAACATGGTAGATCATGTTGTATTAAAAAATAATCTGTGACTCTATACATGAATTAAGAAGAAGTAAATATACACTCAGTCAGTAGTTTATGAATGAAGTCTAATACAACAGTCCTGCAATAGATCAGAATAGACAGATGTTTTTCCACTTGGACAAAACATTAAATATCTCTGGCAATAATACAATTAAACAGCACCACAAGCTAACACTAAAACAAAGGTGTGATTTATTGCAGTGCTGTATTAGTCTATGGATGTACCTAATTAACTGCCAACTGAGTGTACATATTCCACAACAGTGTGAATGCAAATATCCCAAAAAATATATGCAAACCTAACAGCGAATCATAGAGGACACAAGCAATGCTAATGAGATTAACTGTAGTGTTTTGTCCCTGTGGCTTAAATCAAGCTTGGAATCAGATGGGCTTTTAATATTTAAAACTGAGTTATGGAAATGATGCCATAATGTACACCAAGTGCTCCTTCAAACAAGCACCAGGCAGACCTAATGAAGGTCAGATACCTTGAGAAGGTATTAAAGCTTGCTTATTTGCACTAACCTTGGTCCGATATAAACCCAGCTGAACATTTCTAAGCTGACTAGCATCCAGTCAATCTGAATTACACTGCTAATAACAAACCCAGCAATGCAACCGTCATTCAGAAGTCAAGGAGACATTAGGTAAAGGACGAAAAAGCAGAAAGAGAAGGAAGAAAAACACAGAAGCTGGACGTCAGCTGTCTGGAGTTACTTACATGCAGCCATGTCATTGGGAAAGAGACAGCATGAAATATGGACAAAGGGTGGGAGCGGAAGGGTTAATAAAAAGACAACTGAACAAAAAACACTGTAACAAAACTTGTAGACATCAAAAGTTGTTAATCACAGCACTGTTAGTTACTGAAAAACGAGGCAAAATCAAGACAGAAGTAGGAGGTCTGTCAGAGGGAAAGTGCAACAGGCGTGCATCAGTTACACAAACTGAACAGAGGTGCAACAACGTCATTATTTACCCCCACATGCCCACTTTAATCATCATATTGTTAAATGGTGTCTAAATGCCCTTACAGAATCACTTGTAAGTGAGATTATGCTTCACATGTGGTTACGGGCCCCTAACGGGCCCCTAACAAGCCCCTACAAGCTGTAGCTTAGCTCTGTTGCACCATTTGTACGCTACAATGTGTGTCAGCTTACCTGCGTTGTGCTTGGCCAGGTACTTGTCTTTGTATTGTTTCTTCTTCTTGCCAAACCAGGTACAACTGGCCTGCTGCTCCTGTTTGGTCTTCTCCATCGCTATACACGCCACGCGCCTGGCAAGACATGCACTTTAGATTAAAATGCCCTGTGTGATTCAGTACATTAGTACAGCTGCTAAAGATCTGAAAGGACAAACAGGAAGTAAACAACTTGGTTGAGCTTTGTAGTGAAGCTATTACTGAGCTCCTGTGGTGTACTGGTAACACATCTGTCACATCTGATAGAAGTGCCAGGTTCAAATCCTGGCAGGAGTGTCTGGCTTTACAACGATTTCTCAGCCAAAGTTATGACGTGTTGTAAAGAGCAGTCAGTTGTATCCACAGCCAAAGCTTCTGAGCCACAAACTTGTATTTTGCTCTCTGTGCTCTTTATCATTTCAATATCCTAAAAACTAAACTACAATTAATTCCTCACCTATGATTTTCTCTCACACCGTACTACACTAACTCATACTTAGTGTTAAACTTGTAATATTACAAGAGAAAAAATTGTCGTGTTATGTGTCTAAACTTATAATTTAAATTAAAAAGAAGTCAAAGATTAAGACCAAACTCAGGTTACATTGTATAAAAAGCCATAAATTCTCTGGAGAGCTGTAGATGTGGTGGATGAATGGTCAGTGCATAGGACTTTCACACCTTAGGCCGGTTGTTTAACAAGTCAAAGTATTGTATGTCAAAAAAAAAAAAAAACCTGATAAAAAAGTCATAGTATAGTATAAAAGTGATATAAAAAATATATCTAAATGCTCAAGTGTATCAATATTTTCTTACAGCCCAAGAATACATCAAGAAATACAGCTGAAAAGTTCTGGTGTTTGTCGTGTGTCTGACTCACCACTCCTGTAGCTCAGGCGAGGGGATGAGGCCTGCTGTGCCGTTCTTGGTGTTCTCCAGCTTTCCCTGCCACCAGTTGTGGTCGTCCTTGGAGATGATCTGAATGATGTCGCCCACCCGGAAGCGAATGCCCGCCTCCTTGCACGGGATGAGGTCGTCTTTCGCGGGGTCATACTCAAACTGAGCCCGAACATATATCTATAAGGGCAGAGCAGTGAGAAAGAAAACGATGCTGAGCGCTGACACAGTGGCGAGCAGCAGTGTTGTGATCACAGGAGGATATATGGGAAAGAATATGATTGGCCAAGCTGCCACATATAAGGAGACTGGCTGCAAGATTATTAAGTAGTTAGAAATGCTGCGCCGACGCTTGTTGTTAAAAGATAAAGACAGCAGAGCATGTGAGCCGAAGCAGGAGGGGGCACAGACATTCAGATAAATGAAAAGCAAGACGCACGAGTCCTTTGTCTCGACAGCTTATGCACAAACATCCACATCTGTGTGTTGCCTTTTACGTCCACTGACGAACCAGGTATGCAGACTAAGCCTTGATAGCTAGCATGGGATCTAGACACCACTATGATGGGAAACCGCAACTTTGCGATGGGGGTGGGAGGAGTTGGGATCTACTTCTACGAAGGGTCCACTTAGAGACGTCTTACCTTGATGGACAATTTGTCCTTGATAGCAGGTCTGGAGATCTATAGGGTTGAGAGCATCACATACACACTTACACATATATCATGCAGTAGAAAACGTCGGGGGGACATGAACAAAGGAGGTGTGATGAGGGACCCACAACTGGATGCAGAATCTTATATTTGCATTATTTATGTATATATATGTGTGTGTGTGTGACCTTAGATTGTGATACACACACTATGAAACAGACAAAAATGGCCGAAATCAAATGAGAACAGAAGATGACCAAGACATCAGGGTTCCTATCATTTTCCTTTTCAACTTTTGTTATACTTATTTCAGTGTAGTGAGGAAATGATAGACCACACTGTCATATCTTCCCGACCAGGAAATGATCAACTTTTTTTATACAGCTGTGTAGGAATCCTTTCCAATGTTTACGAGGCCGAAGCCGTGGAGAGATCAGGCCTGACATTGGGGAACAAAACTTTATGCAAATAAAATAGATGTGATGGGACTGACTAAATGCCGACGTGCAGATTTGGACTTGTGGGGATGAGTGTTAGTTTGTCAGATCAGTGGCAGATTGTAAAGCAAAGAGTGGAGCACACAGTTGAATAAAAAGGAGTGCAAGCATGGTGTAGAGAATGAGGAACCCTCACCTGACGGCCTTTGGGCTGGATCGTTGCTGGCAGGTCCTGGTTGGGTCGACACGTTTTGTATTAGTATTTTATTTGATTGCAACGTAACAAAAACATCAAATTGATTTTGATGGTAAGTAATTAGCTGGAAACGACAGATTCTGGTCCAGATTTAATTTTAAGACGATGATTTGGTAGTATGAACTGTACCCCATGAAAGACTAACTTTTATCAGTGTGCTGTCATTGTGTTAAAACTTCATCACAATAACAAATAGACACCTTAAACTAGAATTACCGATGTGAGGTAGGTCTCAGTACCTTTGACCACCAAATTTAGTCAGTTCATTCTTGAGTCCAAGTGAACATTTGTGCCAAACTTGAAGAAACTCCCTCAGGCCTCCTTAAGAGACTGCATTCATGAGAATGAGACAAATGCATGGTCACAGTGACCTTGACCTTTGACTACAAAATTCAGTTAATCTGAAGAAATTCCCTCAAGGTGTTCTTTAGGGCTGCCTCGATTAGTCGACTAATCGACTATTAAAATAATCGGTGACTATTTTAGTAGTCGACTAATCGGTTTGAGTCATTTTTCATGGAAAAGTACAATAAAAGTACCTCAAAATACTCTTACTGCAGCTTCTTACGTTCAGATATTAGCAGCTTTACACACTCTGCCGTGACAGTACACTAAAACCCTTTGCCGTGAGTATGAAACAAGACATTAGATGACGTAATTTGGGGGTTTGGGAGAGACAGACCGACATTTTTCAACATTTTAACACATTTTCTTGGGATATTCATGAGAATGAGATGGATTGAAGGTCACAATGACTTTTGACCACCAAAATCTATTCACCTTATCATGAAGTCGAAGAGGACATTTGTGCCAAATTTGAAAAGTCATTCTCAAGATATTGCGGTCACAAAAATTGGAGGGAAAACCCAACCGCATAATAAAATGGTCTCTCTGGCTTTTCCCCTCCATTTCACTGGCCTGCTGCTATTTCAGTGAAAGACTGTGTGTGTGTGTGTGTGTGTGTGTGTGTGTGTCAGAAACACACCAGGATGGAGCTAGTGACACTGGCATGACCGTTTGCAGGCGACTGTCGGGACACATCAGGTGACTCTTTCTGCAATAGGAAATACAAAATGAGTCATTTCATCCCCCCTAAAATGTTTACAAGTGTGTATTCCTGAGTCCCTACCTCACAGGACATGGACTGGGACCGGTAACTGGGTACAATCTTGAAGGTGATGCTACCCCTCATCTCCCTCTGTGTGGGGAAGGGAGAAATAAATGCATGTTACATGAGAGAGCGGAAAATGAGGGTAAGAAAGTCCGATGTGTGCGACTTACCAGCATCTTTTGGAGCTGCTCTACTGTCTGATTGGCGACGCTGATGCCATTAATCTCTCGGATCTCATCTCCTACATGCAGAGTCCCTGAAGCGGAGAAATAATGAATTAATAAAGGCTACAAATGAGGCTCCTGGGCGTTGAAACATCAGCGCCTCACAAAGCAGAGTCCAGGAAAAAGCCTCAGGGGTTATTGAGACGACTTCAGGGGAGAGGAAGAGTTACATTTCACTGTTTTTTCTATTACTGCTCAATAATCTCTGTGATTAATATTATTTTGAGATTTAATCTAATCAGATTGACAAAATGGCTGATTAATGTGCCTATAAATATTCACGTCTGATAAGGATGCATACCTTGCCGATGAATCATTCCACCGTGCATGATTCGGGCCACAATACAGTGATTAAGTTCATTCATTTTCAGAGTGATGCCCTGGAAGAGACAGACAGAGGTCAGGTGTTGTCAAGTCAAACCAACTGGCTCGGGCGACGAGACAGAAAAATCCATTAGTGAAAGGCGAGTTTGTGTTTAGGTAGTCCCTGTGTAACAGAAGAGTAACTGAGATTTGTAAGGTAGTTTCACATGTGAGTTTGTGTTACTTTCATCTAACAGCAATGCAGAAGGACTTTGTGCTGCTGCGTCACAACAAATCACTGGAATACCTTTGTTGTGAAGTGGTTAAGAAGAGTGTTTAGTCACCAAGGTTGGCGACCAACTGATGACTCACTGTTCTGTAAAAACGGCTTCACATCGAGAATTTTCAGCATCATTTGTATCACTTATAAAAACACTTAAGAAGCATGTTTCAAGAAGTGAACTGGTTTGATGAAAAGCCAGAAAGTGAGATTGTAAATTCATTCATTTAGCGCAATCTGCAATAGAGCTGTAACGATCCATCGATTTTGGACGACATACTATACTATGACTTTTTTATCATGATTTTGGACGACATGCTATACTATGACTTTTTTATCATGATTTTGGACGACATTCTATACTATGACTTTTTTATCATGATTTTGGACGACATGCTATACTATGACTTTTTTATCATGATTTTGGACGACATGCTATACTATGACTTTTTTATCATGATTTTGGACAACATGCTATACTATGACGTTTTTACATTATTTATGTGTTGTTTATGTGTTTCATGGCCAAAAGTAAAAAAGGAAGAGCTTGCAGCGTCTTGTGTAACAGACTGCGTTAAATGGGCATTTAAATATCGATCACAGACCCCTGAATTGTATCGAAGCGAAATCATATCATGGCAGACTTTGTAATATCGGAAAATGTCGTATTGTTGTCTTACGAATCGATATAATATTTTTTCGTGATGAAACTGGTGCTTTAGACCCCTAATCTGCAACATGTGCCTCTCTCGTTCCTGTCTTCTCACCATGGGCTCATCAGTGTTCTTCTGAAACTGGACCAGGCGGACCCTGGTGACATTCTCCAAGTCCATGTCTCCGTTGGTGCTGTCTGGGGAGTCTCCTTTCAGGTAAGGTGAGGTGGGCGGGGGGGTCACCCTCAGCGCCTCATCGCTGTAGACCTCATGGGCCACCACATCGTGGGTCTGCAGCAGAGCCTGGAGTGAAACAGACAGTCAAGACTGTTACGTCACATGGAAGCAACTGCAGTGTCACTGTTTTTCTAGTGTAACCCAGTGGGAATGAAGCCCATGCTGCACACAGTATCAATGTTAGTATGTGAGTGGACAGCTCAAATGTTGGACAGAGTGTGGCTTACACTAATCCCCTCTGGGCACTAATGATGTTACTGACACAGTGTGTTTTTACAAACACATCTACTCGCTGCGTTTTCCAAATGATCACATCTGCTCATCAGAGCGACAGTATGCTCACTGTTGATGCATGACAGACACAGGGAGCTCAAACAGGTGGCACTCGAGGCTTTTAACTTATCGTGAGCATTAGTGCGGCTGAGAGGATCAACGGTTTAAAGACAAAGGCGTCGGCAGTGGATTCTGACAAGTGTTTGACATTGAAGACCAACAAAATGACTGCAGACTAAGTTGATAATTACCAGGAACAAAGCCTGTCCTTGGATCACTGCTGCATAAATGAAGCCATGCACTACTCAGGGTAAAGTTTAAAGTGAAAGAATTAGTAAGTGAGGCATGCTTCTTCCCATGTGCTGCCACGCCAAAGCCCTTCACACCCATTCTGCTATCAGCACTGTTAAATGACTGTGGCAGCATGAAAAACCCAGCCGGTCAGGTCAGAGAGCAGGACAGGCTAATTGGATTGAAGCAAACCTGAGGCGTGACTGTGACAGCTCCAGTAAGTGTCACAGACTGAATAAGCAGAGGGAAACACCTCAGCTTGCTGTGCTAACTGAGCTAAATGAACGGCAGCATCATCCTACAGTTAGCCGCCGTGCAGGTTTGTAAGTGACAATAAATCCAATGGAAACAATACAACTTACATGCAGTAAACGTCTAGTCGTGCACTCAGCGAAATAAATTCCCTGTTGCTGTTCTATCCAATTACTGAGATGAAAACTGCAGCTACAGAACAAGCTACACTGTGTTTTACCTTTGCATGAAATCCACTACTGACTTCCTCAGATTTCACTCTCTATGTCTGTCAGTTAAATCCTCCATCTTGTTCTTCTGTTCATCTCAGGTCTGTTTAAAGCCACTACACTTATCTGACAAATATGCTGCCATTGACGGTCACCGCGCAAGTATATCCACGCTGAAGCCCTTCAGCTCTCCCTGCCGCTCTAATGCTTCTGCCTCCCTTCTTTTCCCTCTCCATGTGTCTATCTCTCGCCAAGCTCAGGTGCTAAGCAGCTTTGTGGCCGAGGGAGTTATGTGGATTGTCAAAGAAGCCTTCTTCTGACACAGTGGCTTGTAATCTCACACACCAATAAGCATGCTCTACATGCACAGGCCCCAAAAAGTCTCATCCTGTCAAAACAATACGAGTGTGCTGTGTTGCTGTGTGAGTGTCTGTAGTATCCCACCATGAAGTGTGGCTGTGTGAGGATCCTCCTGAGCTCCTTGGCCTCCATGTTCTCTGGGTAACAGGAGATGGTTTCCAGTACCTGGTGGAGAAAAGAAAGACGAGTAGAAAGATGTTAAGATTGCTCATAATAAATGCTCTTTATAAGAATTAACACCTCAAAGCGCAGTATCTGATGGTGTTGTTTAAATTATTAAACGTTTAACGCTGTAGTTGGTAACTTTTATAAAAATGACTTGCACATATTTGTTGAACCTGTCGCTATATCCACACAGCAGCATATAAGACGAATAACCTCTGAAGAAATTCACGTTCCTTTGCTTCCTTGTAGTGCTTCTAATGACACACGTGAACAAAAACAACCAGTCAGAGCCGAGGAGTCTCAGTCAAACTGTCAAACTCTGCACCACTGATCAAAAATGAATCAAGATTCTGTTGCTGCATGGGTAGCCTATGACACAGCATTTCCTCCCGGGAGACTGGATCAGAGATTTAATCACTGGACTTTTAGGGGGACTACCTCAAACTCTAACATTATGGGAGAGAATAACCTGCGGAGTTTTCAGTCACTGTCAGACATATATGATCTGGAAAAATCAGACTTTTTCAGACTCTATTTTGATCGTGAAATTCAACCTCACAGCTCAACCACAAATTCAATGTAGATGACTGGACTAATACGAAATGAAAAAGTTCACTTCCTGTCTGAAGTAACGAAAAGCAAAGTTTGAAAAAAAAGGGGGGAAAACTGACTTTATATGTGACTGTAGAAGCATTAACCTGACTTGGCTCCCATTAATTGTATATCTAACCCATTGTCCGATTCTTTTGGTGGCTTCCTCAGCCCTTTGACATGAAGTGGAATGCACTCTCGGACATAAATAATACTCTCACAGTTTAATACATCAGAACAAAACCCATCATCACCTCTCCTTTTATCAAAGACATTGGGACTCCCTCCTCTTATTTACAAGAAGATGTCTGGCAGCCATGTGTGATTTCTTTGTTCGTTTGATTTTTATTCTCGTTATTTTAAAAGTATGTTCAAAAATCAATAAAAATAAAGTTAAAAAAGAAAAGTCGAGCCCATTGGCTAGAGTAAACTCTCATTTTACAGTCGGTGCAGTAACAGAATCTTCATTCAGATTTGATCAGCGCTGCCTAGTTTGACAGTTTGACAACAGTTCATGAGCAGAGGTAGAAGCCCCTTTTACACTGCCAGATTTTCGGCGAATGTTGGGCCGTTTTGCCGGCATGCTGCGAGCGTTTAGACACACAGAGCCGGACTGGCGAGTTGATCCGAGGTGCCCAATTTTCCGCCGTCTAGGGGTAGATATATCGGCGGAACCTTTTTGGTTTAAAAAGAACGAGGCGCCCTTCCGCCACAGGAGGGGCTGTTGAAGACACGTTTTGTTACTTGCTCACGCCCCCCATTGCCCTGAAAAAGGCACATTCTGTATAAACAAAAGTAGGTAGGCGGCATTTTGCCGCACTCCCCGATTTTGTTTTTATACTGCCAATGCTAAAAGAAGACTTATTGGGCTTTCCTGCAAATTTGCACAATTCCTATTTAAAAAGTGCTGCAGACTTCTCAGCTCTGATTGGTTGTTTTGCTTAAGCCAAGGTGGATTCTTGTAAATGCAATTAGAAGAACAATAAGAAGAAGAAGTAGCACGATTTGTTCCACAGATAATCTGTCTCTTTTTTAATAAAAGTTACCAACTGTAGCTTTGAAAACCACATGAAGAAGATGCCAGTCTGCAATCTGAAAGTGTCCCTTGTTTAGTGAACATGAGCAGAGAGTTCTTCACCTCTTTGGCTCTCTGCACTCCATCACTCGGAGGGTTTCTGATCTGAGGGGACGACCTGGTGTTGATTTTGTCATAAAGCTGAAATGACAAACATGTAAGAACTTGACAAGTGTACCTCATTAAATATGAAAGACCCAACACTACCACATGTGCAAGACATGATGGACAAATACTGCAAGTAGGTTAATCTTGTAGTGACACCTGCTGGGCACTTTTGGTACTACAGAGACAGACAGTGTGGTGTACTCACATCTAACAGGGTGTGGAGGTGCTGATCCTGGAAGACACTGTGGAGAAAGTCCATGTCTTTCTCACTGCAGTCTGTCAGTGCGTGAATCTCTTCTAGACTGTCCAAAACCTGTGATACTGCCCCTGCACACACACACACACACACACACACATACAGAAGTTATATGGACCGAGTCGCAGCCATACAGAACAGACACACTCACAAGTACACCGAGCAGTCCCTGCAAACATCCAACACGACACAGAATGCAAACACTGAACATGACACACACACATATTCACAAACGCACCACACGTTACACATCCACAAACAGGCAAAAACAAAACCACAAAACAAAGACTACAAGCAACAGACATCACGACACTTAAAAACACGCACAAACACTCAGAACTATTTAACCCCAAGTACCTGCTGCATCGCCCACACATGCAGCAAAACCAGAGAAACAGCAGTATATGGCATCAATATAACATCAGAGGAAAGTCACTTCAAAAAGTCACAGTGAGGATGATGGGTAAGGAGCGGTGCGCCCCGGAAAAATGCAGAATATAGATTTTTAAAAAGTGGAAAATGCAAAAATATGCAGAGGAAAAGAACTCAAATCTGATATATTGTCTCTTAAAAAGTGTTCTCAGGCTTAAAGTGTCGCCTTCACACACACATGTACTGTATGAAACAAGAAGAAGCTGATCCTTAAATGACCACAGAATAGATCAGCGGCAGGTGGGATGATATTACACCACCAGGGAGTGACCTCTATTTGTAACAAATGAGGTACTAAATATTTCATATGTTAAATTAGAGACTGTGGATTACTCCATCCTTGAAACTTTTAAAGTGCTGAATCTTTAACACAGTCTTGAAGAGGATAACAAGCAGTGTCTGTGTTCGGTTAACAAGAGAACCCTGGAATAACAGATGAAAGATGAATATGTAGAAAATAATCCCATCTACAAACATGTATAATGCTGGGCTCATAATGGGCTCGAGAGAAGAACAAATGAGACTTTGATTCGGCTCGTACTGTGAGGCATGAAAGAGAAACAGCAGAGGAGAAAACAGTGTGTAAGCTGTTAATAACTTTGGGGAAACCTCGTTATACGTCTGTTTACATGCATCATACCACTCCAGTGTGGGAAACACATTTTAAACAATTACATTAATTGATTTTCAGTCATGTTCAGATCAATAATTGGTTTAAAGCTCATGAAACACAAATTGCATTCAGCTCCTCGAGGAAATTAATTTAACATAAGCTAAATAACATTGTGCTTGAGATGACTGTTCTGCTAACACTCTATGGTAATTGTTTAACAAATGACCAAACAGAACTTTAAGATTTAACGACAATTCTGTAATTTTCTGGAAGACTAAACATTCAGGCAGCTGAACTAAAGTAGGGTGCAGTGTACAGATGTCGAGGAGTTGTAACGTGTGCTGGCTTCAGCCATCTTACTGTTCAATCAACAATTAAGATACATGTTTTAAAACTAAAATCTAAGCACTTAAGCAGAAACCTGATGACCAGATGAGGTTTTTATATCATCCTATAGCTTGTCAGTAGTGTTCTATAAGTGTTCAATCCGATCATTCACATTTTGTTCAATGTAGGTATGTTTCAGCGTCAAGATGCTATTTTCCCAAGCCCTTCTAAATGTGTTACCACGTGACCTAATGTAGGTTTCTGCATGATGTCCCATACTGTGCCTTTTGAGTATTTTGTGTTACTGATCTTTCAAATAAGTTATACCTCTGATTGAGGCAGTGGCAGACCAGCAACTCCCAGGATCTGTGAGGCAAAATTCCGGTTTCTGTCAAAGGAGTCTGACTTTGAGGAGAATGACAGAGCTGCTTCAGCTCCATGTCACAAAGGGCTGTCTGACCGCAAGGTAATACAGCGAATGAATCTGCTTTTACATCTGGAACCTCCCCTCTACAACAGGCTTGAGACACGCCCCTAAATGAGGACTTGGCTCAGATTCTGGAGTTACTCTCTTATCCTGAAGCCTCCTTCAAGAATCTGATCATGTTTGATTCAGCGGTGGGAACCTCTTGCGACCGCATTCGAACCCTGGACTCTTTTAAATGCATGTAAACAGCTTAGTCCGACTGAAACCGGACTTTTAAGTGCACGTAAACAGCTTAGTCCGACTGAAACCGGACTTTTAAGTGCACGTAAACAGCTTAGTCCGACTGAAACTTTTAAATGCACGTAAAAAGCTTAATCCGACTGAAACTGGACTTTTAAATGCACGTAAACAGCTTAGTCCGACTGAAACCAGACTTTAAAGTGCACGTAAACAGTTTAGTCCGACTGAAACCGGACTTTTAAATGCATGTAAACAGCTTAGTCCGACTGAAACCGGACTTTTAAAAGCACGTAAACAGCTTAATCCGACTGAAACCGGACTTTAAAATGTACGTAAAAAGCTTAGTCCGACTGAAACCGGACTTTTAAATGCACGTAAATGGCTTAGTCCGACTGAAACCGGACTTTTAAATGCACGTAAACGGCTTAGTCCGACTGAAACCGGACTTTTAAATGCACGTAAACGGCTTAGTCCGACTGAAACCGGACTTTTAAATGCACGTAAAAAGCTTAATCCGACTGAAACCGGACTTTAAAATGTACGTAAAAAGCTTAGTCCGACTGAAACCGGACATTTAAATGCACGTAAATGGCTTAGTCCGACTGAAACCGGACTTTTAAATGCACGTAAACGGCTTAGTCCGACTGAAACCGGACTTTTAAATGCACGTAAACGGCTTAGTCCGACTGAAACCGGACTTTTAAATGCACGTAAAAAGCTTAGTCCAACTGAAACTGGACTATCCGTAGCTCAACTAACACACCTAGATAATTCAATTGAAAATCAAACTCGTGATGCATTTATCCGCTTGGCGTTCTGCGCATCCACCACTTCACCTGAAATAAGAAAGAGATGATGTAGCAGTAGTGCAGTAACTCCCGCAAAAACAAACAAACACCAAGAAGCAGAAGATGCACTTCTAGACGGACGAGGAAACTACATCCATGCTCCGCCATCTTCATTCATTGTTAGCTTCCTCTTTGGGTCAACCGGAGCTAGTTCAATATGCACTATTTTAAAAAAGGACACAGCGCCGCCTATCGAGGCGGAGTCAGGCATACTTGGTCAGAAATTCGATTTTCTCTTCTGCACGTATACTCAGACAAGACGAGAAGTCGGACTTGACTGATTAGCCGAGCTATGAGCTTAGCTCGACTACTGTGTACATGTAAACGTACTGACCTCAGACAACCCTACTGCCAAAAAATGCAAACAACTATTATTATTATCAGCACTCTTACATCACTGCTTTTCGTTACCGCTAAGGCAGAAAAGAACCCTGATGGAGTCGACCTTTAACCATGTTATCCTATCAGATTGTTTGTGTCTCACAAGGTAACAACCACAATATTTGTGTTTACAGAGCTTCCTGTGACTGGATTAATGACAATGCATGTAAACAGAACATCAGAGTGAGCATCTGGATAAAAAGCACACTCATCAAACCATAGGAGTTTTCTCAAAGGGACAGTAGAGGAGACAGGGAGACACACAGAGGAAGCCATTTTGGAGGATCTGGACCCACATCATTTAACACTGAGAAGAAAAAAATGAAACTGAAAAGCGAGTGATGAAGTCATGATGATATCACACATCAAGATTCTATGGGTATGGGGGAGGGATACGTACTTTCAGCAGCTAGCAGTCCTAGAGACAGCACAGCAGAAGAAAAACAACACCAAAGAAAGAGAGGCTGATATTAGAGGAGGTTTACTGCAGCTATGGATGTAGACTTTTAACACCTCACAACGACAGATAAAGAAAGAGAACAGGCAGACGGAAGAGAGTCAGAGAGCAGGCAGTGTGAGGAGGCAGGAGGGCAGGTTGGTAATAAAAGGAGGCACAGGGGAAACGGAGCAAAGAGCAGCAACACGGAGAGAAAATCAGAAAAGCTGCCAAGTTGCTGGCTGCAAGCACCTCCTATACGACACAAGGATGTGACCAGCATCATGTCTGGAGGTCTACAAAGGCAAAAATAAACCAGTCACCAGGAAACATGACTGCAACAGACTGCCAGCCTCAGCAGAAACTACATGTGTGGTGGTATTAGCAGACCTGGCTGCAGCAGCTACAGATAAAGATAAGCAAACAATGTAGCTTAGCTCATTGCACTGATTTAGAAGCTGATAATAAAACACTGCTCATTTCGTACAGTTTATGGCAGCAACACGAGTGGTTTCTGTACGCTGACAACTACCGGGTACAGTTCTTTTATCAAAGGAAGTGAAAGTTTGTGGCTGAGACAGGGAAGTGAGGCTGTTGGGCAACACCTGTCTTCATCCAAGCTGGGGAAGTTCTGCACAGACAGCTGGGGATCACATTAAGACACTAAAATAGAAACCATGAGAATAGAAACTGGGCTAGAAAGTGAATGTGGCCTTTGGCGTAAATGCGTGTTTCATCTTTGACCTTACATGACCCTCCAGTGGATGTTCAAGTATCGGGAGGACTAACTCTTATTCGTCCATGGGCCAAGTGACTGTTTGAAGAGCTACAGTTACCTCAATATTAGTCAGAAAGATTTACAATTGGGCTTGAGTGAAAATCAAGAAGGTCCCCTTTAAAATGACACCAAACACAATATTATAAAATGTCCTGACCATGAGCCTAAACCAGGATATGCACCAGCGTCTAAAATGCAGTTTACTTTAGGGGGTGGTTCACTTCATGAGCTGGTTACTGTGACACAGCTGCCACTCAGGAATGTCTATCATACCAAAATATCATCTGCACACATGAACATTTTCATAAATTATTACCAAGTTTTGCCACCTTGTTTGGTACAGAAATCTAGTCTGGCCCATGGACTGTAAGTAGCAACATTTACTGTCCTTTAGGTGATATTACCTGACAATTCAGTGCATGTTTTAACTCCTTTAGGCTGCTTTACCCACCTGCACAAACTTCAGAATCCCTTCAGCAATTCAAATAATTAGACTGGTAGTAGTCACAGTACCAGTGCATTTAGAAACTAAAATAATTCGTATGACAGGTTAGAGCCTGTTTCCACCTGGTTTTAACATGCGTTTTGGGTGATCCGATCACAAGTGGATGACTAATACGCACTGGGATCTTATCACTCCAACCATTGCCGAGGTAGTCTGAGAAACATTTGACCACATATCTTTGGCAGTGTAAATGCTAATGCATCCTGGTGCATCCCTGACAAAAGCCCTATTCAGACGGAATTAGTTTAACGTGGAGACGTGGGGTAAAGTAATTATTACCAGGGATTTTAGTCCTGTCCGAACGCGCCATGTCTGTAATCATTATCATCCCGTGCGAACGTGATCCTCTGTAAAAATGTGTGTAAATATTTCGTCATGTCCTGTTTACAACCATTTTTCCGCGTTTTTCCGGTGATGTCGGCAGTCGTGGGAGACCAATCAAAAAGGTTGAGGAGAAAGCACTTTTCAGGGCCACAAGACCTCTGGTTGTGTTAGGTAGGCCTAATATAAATCCATGTTGCTAATCGTTGTGTACACACAATCCTGATCATGGGCAATATTTCATACTGGGCTAATCATCAGCGTAGCACACACATGCTGACAGGGAGATGACGCCAGGGCGCAAACTGAGTTACCGCTCCCATCTCTGGTAGAATTACGGAGATTTCTTGTCCTGTGTAAATCAGACATTTATATCACAGACATCCTGTGGTAAACTGACATTAGTCCACATCCCTATGTAAAACTAATCCCGTCTGAATAGTACTAAAGACTACGTTATCAGTGCAGGGTGTAGTGGCTGTTTTGGTGACAGCACGCTAACTAAATTGTTGTGTGACCATCCACTGCTTTGCCCTGTGGAACGAAACCTGTTAAATCCTGATCCAGCTGTACTGACTAGTGAGCAGTGAGTGAAAGCGTGGATATAATAATCATGCATGGGGCTCTTTGACCTTGTAGCGTAAGTGACATAGACAGTCATGAAAACTAAACATAGCTGGAGACACGATACAACACAGGTGTGAACCGCCATGTTGTCTCGGCTGTCTACTTGTGTTCGGATCACTAAAATGTATTTTATTTTATAAGAGCAATTTTTTTTCCATTTCATATATCGTTGTGCTACTTTTTAATGGTTCGTAGCAAATACTTCTTCCAAAGGAGCTTCACAATGTGTTTTTTATGCAAGTCAGATTCAGATTAGCTCTTGATTCATCTTTAAATATTAATATTTTACCAAAAGAAAAATTTTATTAATCATTTTTCATTTCATTTCATTTTTCCATTTTTTTATTAATCATCCAGAACACCAAATATTATGTTAGAGGTGTAAGTTTAAAATCAATGTTAAATGGCCTTTGCCAATTGTAGATATTGGTCCACAAATTTGCAGCATGTGGACAACAGACGATCTGAGGTCTGCACTATGAAACAGGATTTGGAGTTAGCGAGGTAACTTCAGGGTTAACGCTTGATTTTCAGTACTATGAAGCTGGTTCTCTTTTTACTGGGTAAATCACCATGGCAACTGATGCTTGTCATTTAAGTCTTGGATGACGGTAAATTTCTGTGTGTGGTGTTTTCAGTGTTTTGAAATTTTCCACAGTTTGTCGCTTTCATCCTGCGCCACTGACATTTCTCCGTCTATCGCTACCGTTTCATCTCTATATCATATCATATGAAGCAGCCTCGTCGATGACGCTCGCAATTAACACCCCCGCCACTTTCACATGAACATGCTTGTGGCTGGATATGAAAACCCAGAGTGGGCTGAACTGGTTGATAACCAGCTTCGTAGTACCGGTTATCAAGATGGCCAATGTTAGGGTTATTCAAACCAGATAGCGAGAAGATATCCTGGGTTATTACAGAATCTACATAATGATGATTTGTGCAATGTTAAACATGTTAAGTTGTTTTCAGTGGCTGTAATTTTGTAGAATATCTTCCATTAAAAGATTCTGGCATGTGTGTTGTGTGTTTTATTTACCTGTATTTAATATATATATATATATATATATATACATATATATATATATAAATAAGATGAAGAAGAACAAGAGGAAGAACAAGAAGAAGAAAAACAAACTGGTAACTAAAGCCAGATGTAGATCCGTTGTGTGATGTACCTGAGGAGGTGGGGTCATCTGAGAAGTCATGTAGCTCCTCTGGGGGGTCGCCATAGTAGGAGTTAAACTTGTGGCTGGAGACAGCAGCCAGCACTGCACCCTGGGAAACAGAGCAGGGGTAACATGGCTGTTACAGACAGCCTCAGTGCTGTGGGGTGTGTGCGCATGCTTTGTATGTGTTTGTAGATGAGGCCGTAATCTTGGAAAAACATCTGACAAGAAATTAATCTGGGTCATCAGAAGCAGCTGCACACTGCAAAGGAGGCGTTCCTTCCTCTCGTCTTAGATGTAATCGCAATGACCTGGTCGATTTTGAGTGTAACATCAACACAGCGCTGACCTTCAGCTTCCTCCTGGCGTTGAACTTCCTCAGCTGCTCCACTGTCTCAGGCAGGTGGATCTTGTAGGCATACCTGTCCCTCTCCTACACACACACAAACACAGATATTAGCACAAGTGGAAACCATTTACACAACGGTGCGGCCATCAGCATGCAGACACATTAGAGCAGCCTCAGAGCGGATGTGAAAGCAGGGCTGTGGTTCCATGCAGAAGGAAGTGTTCTTGAGTCAGCATCTGTGAGGCCAGTGGTTAGAGGTGATTTTGAGTTGCTAGAGCTCAAACACCAAATATCCACACAATGTGTAATTTAACATTAAATGTTACACACGATACAGACAATAACCTGCAGCGAGGGCTCTTAAGCTGTGGTCAATTTATTACAAGCAGTTACGTGTGAGTGTGTGTGATCTTGCCTTCAGCCAGGGGTGGTTGAGGGCCTCGTAGACGGTGATCCTCTCAGCAGGGTCCAGCATCAGCATGCGTCTCACCAGGTCCTTGGCGCTCTCAGAGATGTGGGCCCACTGGCGCGGGTTCATCTGGACCAACACATGCAGGACGACACGTTCAGAAGCACGTAGAGCACTGGCAACCACTTTTCAATTCTCATCTGTTATGTGACGGTAAAGCTGCAGTGTTGGCGCCGCTCATTCTTTATTTTTCAAAATAAAATCTGTGAGTTCAGCAGCAGCTGTTCGGCAGCAGCATGATGGAGGATAGCACGGCGTCGTCCATCAAGCCGCCTGCCGTTACTGCATCTGCCACAGATTAGCGTACCAAGCAGGAAATTCATACTCTCAGCTGAAAACAGAGAATTTAACAGGCCTATCAGATTATTCACCATCTCTCACTGGCTTTTGTGAAGAGACGAAGTAGTGTGTAATTTGATGCACTCACTGAACATCAAATTAGGAATACATATGAGGAGGTAATAGTAAAAATAGCTCAGAGCAGGCGTTCATTAATTAGGGCTGTATCACGTTATGTCTCGTTGGCAAGAGGGAGAAGACGACAGGAGAGGAAATACAAATGAAAAATGAATTTTAAAAACTACTAGGAGCTCAACCTTGGCACACACTGCAGCAAAGCGACGAACAGGAGTTTCTTATTGTGCCTATCTGCAGCTAAATGTCACCGCTCCAGCGCAGTAACGAACACATTCACACAGATGATGGTGTCTCGTCGATCGGCTCCTACCTTGTACTTTCCCTTAATGATCGCCTCAAACAAACGCTCCTTGGTGCCATAGAAAGGAAGGCAGCCAGAGAGGAGGATGAAGAGGATGACGCCACATCCCCACACGTCCACCGGTTTGCCGTATGGCTCCCTCTTGACGACCTCTGGGGCCATGAAGTGGGGAGTGCCGACTCGACCTGAGGAGAGCCGACAGAGAGACAGTTTGGGAGTGATTAGCTACGAGGAGTTGATAAAAAATGGAAGCATCAGATTTGGATTGAGGGAATTTGGAGGCCAGGTCAAGGCCTTGAGCTCTTTGTCATGTTCGCTGGGCGGTTGGGTGTGTCAAGTGGCATCCAAGATAGTTTGCTGTTCACGTCACCTGTCAGTGGTTTTAAAGTTTTGGCTGATTGGTGTATGTAGGGCTGCAGGTAACAGATTTTTTGGTATTAATCAGATAAGTGTTAAGCCTCTAAAAATGTCAGGAAATCCTGAAACGTGCCTTCATGTCTGCCATCCCACAGTCCTCAGATATTAAAGTTAAAATGGCTTAAATGGTGTATATACAACCCTGATTCCAAAACAGCTGGGACGCTGTGTTAAACATGAATAAAAAACAGAATGCAATGATTTACAAATCCGTTCCAACCTATATTTAATTGAATACAGTACAAAGAAAATTATTTAATGTTCAAACGCAAACTCTATTCTTTTGTTGTAAATAAAAGTTCTTAAAGTGAAATTCTTTCTCAAGATCCACTACTGGGCCCACTAACATTTCAAGATTTAAAGACACTGAGATATTAGTTTCTCCAAATACTAATAAGATTCAGTTCGTGTGTTCAATACTTTTTTCCTGTCATTCCACTACACTGGACATAATTTCTATGGATTGAAATGTTAAAAAATCTTTATCCATGTGGTTTTATTGGGTTAATACTAATGTCTGGTCTAAATTCCATGTAAATAGCTGCACTGGAATCATTGCATCTTGTTTTTGTGTACGTTTAACACACCAAGCATCCCAACTTTTTTGGAATAAAGGTTGTTTGTTCTCACTTAGTTTGGAGCTCAGCTAATTTAATCATATATTACGATCTGTCTAAACCTTATTTTCTGGCTTAGGGCTGCAGAGACCTGAGGTCTACCCCCCATTCAGTGGGAGAGACAGGTTTCAACCCAGGGCCAACATACAACCCCATCCACGCCTTTGGACACTTTACATTTTCCAGTTCACCTAATCTGCATGTCTGTGAACTGGGGACAATTTAGAGCTGCTGAAGGAAACCCACACAAATGACAGTAGTCAGGGTTTTCCCTGCCTATCTATAGCCCCTTTTACACTGCCAGATGTTCAGCGAATGTTGGGCCGTTTTGCCGGCTAGCTACGAGCATTCAGACACACAGAGCCGGATTGGCGAGTTGATCCGAGGTGGCCAATTTTCCACCTCGTAGGGTAGTCATATTGGCGAAACCCTTTTAGTTTAAACAGACCGAGGTGGCCTTCCGCAACAGGAGGGGCTGTTGATGACTTGTGGGAGGAGCTGTTGATGACGCCGCATGTGCGACCCACTGCCGGTGGATAAACAGGAAACAGCTGATAGCAGGAATTAGCAGCTAGTAGCAAGAGGGAAACACAAACCTGACAGACACTGTAAAGATGAGCAACTGGGGAGACAAGGAATTGCGCGCCCTCCTTGTCCTCGCAAACGAAGAGGCCATTAACTGTCAGATGACGTGGACGGTGAAGAACGGGCCGACTTACGAGAGAATCGCCAAAGGACTGACCAGCCGCGGCTTCCCTCCCACGTCACTGGTTACATCACACGCTGAGCTACATGTTTTGTTACTTGCTCACGCCCCCCCATTGCCCCGAAAAAGGCGCATTCTGTATAAACAAAAGTAGGCAGGCGGCATTTTGCTGCACTCCCCGATTTTGTTTTTATACTGCCAATGCTGAAAAAAGACTGATTGGGCTTTCCTGCAAATTTGCACAATTCCTATCTAAAAAGGGCTTAAGACAAAGGTGGGCCGCCTGGGGGGCGTTGAGATGTAGTGTCTTTTGCGCATAAAAACCCATTACTTTCAATGTAGACGTGTGTTATGTGCGCTCACAACCCAAAGTGACGCCATAGTGGCGCATTCGGTGTGTTATAGAAGAGAAACACACATTTCAGGACCGCTGACTTGTATCATCAGAACAGACATGTCCTGTGATTTTCAGCCTACTTTCATATTTAATAGAGGGGGGACAATACCTGACAGTAATATTCTCAGCTGTCAGGATGTGCCTGCTGTAAAGGGTAAATATAATCATTGAAGGCTGAAAATCACAGGACACGTTTGTTCTGATTATACAAGTCAGCAGTGTAAAGCTCAAGCATGTGGGGGCCTCCTTTCGTATTTGATAGAGGGGGGGACCGTATCTAAAAGTACAGCTGTCAAGATGCCCCCCCGCCACAGGCCTTTGCCACCTTGGTCTCAAAAAAACCCAGGGAAAACCCTGGTAGCCATGTCTAAAATATCGCTTGTCCGTTGCTCATCTTGTTACCACAGTCATATGTTTTCTCTGAACACTTCTTACTTAGTTTGATGAACAGAAAAAAACATTTTGCAATGATGTGGAGATTTAAATAAGCACCTTAAATTAACATAATGATCAAAACTTAGAATTTATTTTCCATTCTTTGCCTGATTGTTTAATCATTGTGTGTGCATGCACGTGTAGTAAATGTGTGTAGTAGGGACAAACTGTCCGACTGTACCTCCAGCTACTAAACCAGACTCTCCCAGCTGTATGGCCACTCCAAAACCTCCCAGCTTGACCGGAGCAGAGTTTTCCTTTGAGGCCAACAGCACACAGTGAGGCTATGGAGAGACAGAAGAGAGGTCCAGCAGAGATAAATAAAAAATAGGACAAAGAGTTAAACAGTAGATTTATGACTCATATATTTCAACAGGTTAAATAACGAACTCATCAACAAATGCGATGATGACTTTTTCTTTTTACTGACGAGGAGAACACAATCTTTGCAGCGTACAGTAAATGTGCAGAGCATTGCTTTTGCTCTTTCTGTGCAAAAGTGCAGCATCCCATATGATGAATTGCTGGTTAGAGAACCTCAGTTTCACAATGACAAAACAGCATGCGCAACTAAAACCACGACTTCATTATAATGCCAATACAGACAGGAAACAGGTCTTGCTCCAGCATTTAGTAAGCAAGGGATCATCAGCATAAAGTGAGATGCATGAAATTAAGATGTCTCAGAGAGCTGCAGAGCAAGGTGGTGAGGAATTAGGCCTACGTAAAGTTTATTCAGACTTGATATCAACTCTTTATGACATACAGTAGAAGGGAACTGTTGGGAATAAATACAGGTAAGATCCTTAACATGAGAAGTCAAACTACAGGCCAACGACTGACAGAAGAAGATGAAAATGAGAGAAATGTTGTGAGAGAAGCAGCAGATAATGTCGTAGATCCTGATCCTACTTATACGTACTTGCAATTAACACACTGGAGCCCTATTTGCATGGGATTCATATTGAAGGAGGCAGGTAATAAAATACTTGCTCTGCTCCGCAGTAAGTAAATCTATTTTACAGGGTCGTGTTCGCTACTATGTGGGGAAACTACGTGAGCATCATTCTCCAGCACGCTTACTTATTATTAAAGTTACTTTAATATCAGATTCTTTGAAACAAAGCCTCCTCCACTGTTGCACAGAAGTCACACCGAGCTGATGATAAAAGGAGTTGCAGTTTTTTGCGTGCAAAACCTCAGAGATTCAGTTTCAAACACAAACTGACCACAGGGCATGCTGGAGAACAAGCTTTTGGGACTGCAATCAATACGATAAACTACATGCACTCAAGACAAGATTAATGTCTCTGATCTGTGCATGCGATATAACAAACACTACACCTTCTTCAGAAAAACTAGTTCTGTTTAAAAGTTGTATTCTTGCTAATTTGAGTAACCTTTACTTCAGATACAGGGTGAGAGTGCGGTGGACTCACTTCCTGTCTTATCTATTCTGTATTTCTTGTAATAGGGGCTTGAGGGGCGTGGAGGATGTTGACTGAGGCGGTGCAAAACACACACAGTGAGAGGGAGGGGGAGTGAGAACAAGAGGCAGAGACAAGAGGACCGGCAGACTAAACAGTCAGATCTGTGAGAGCAAGAGGGGGGAGAGAGTGAAGAGGCATTTTAATAAAGGAGAGGACAACGACCAGGACTGAAGGCGAGCTGAGAACAGAGAGCTGAGAGGAGGACGGGGAGGAGCAGAGTATCAAAAGGATGTGAAAAAAAAAGTGTGTGCAGGATTTATGACTCATTCAGAGACTGAAGAAATAGGTGAAGATAGCAAAAGAAAAGTGTTAAGGACAAGAACTGGCGTTGCATAATATCTTATCATATAAGTAACTTTTTAAACTGATTACAGTTTGATGGAGGAGAGAAACACACTGGATTGCTCAACTCCGGCACATCCGTGCACTTTCCCACACATCTAAACTGCAGCTGTGCTGAAATCACTACGCGAGGAATACTGACGGTGAGTGTTCTGCTTTAATCCCAACATCTGTGTGTGGCCGTCAGACAGTGACTTAGCATGAGTGTTCATACATGTGCAGCAACTCCTCAACTTGGACTGGAATTTATAGGTTAAATGGGCATGAAACTTAAATTAGTCATGACTCGCACAGAAAACCGAACTGTTGTATGTTTTCCAGAACATTCAATATCCTGCGTGTGGAGCTCCTCTTTTGTAGGGTGTTGTACCTTTTTCATGGCATTACATTAATTACTATAATTTACATTTCACACTGAGTATTACATGTGTGACCTTTAAAACTACAACCCACACATTACTCACCTGTCTGTGCATTACTCATAAAATACGCAACTGCAGTTTCAGTTTGGGCACGCAACCTTTTTCTTGCCTTTCACCTTGAGCTGTTTAAAATTTCTGTATTTGTTCTGTGACACACAATGAACTGATTTTTTTTTTTGTCTCTTCTTTCTCCTCAGCCACAATGACCCTCTTCTCCTCGGCCTCTTCCTTCCCCTTTACTCTTTCAGCCTCTGCATCGTCTAACTCCTCTCTTCCTGTATCGACTTCTATGTCATCCTTCTTCTCTGCCACCTCTCTCCCCCCTTCCTTGTCCCCTTCCTCCAACTCTTCCCTAAACCAGACTGGATGTTCGTTTGATGACGCCGCCCTCCGTCTGCCCCTGGCAGTCCTTTACTCCCTGTTCTTCCTCTTTGGGCTCGTGGGGAACCTCTTCGCCCTGTGGGTCTTCCTCTTCCTGCATTCAAGCCGCAACTCTGTACGGGTGTTCCTCATCAACTGTGCCGTGGCTGATCTGGTCCTGCTGGCGTGCCTGCCCTTCAGAGTGTTCTACCATGTTAACGGAAACAAGTGGGAACTGGGATCTGTGGCGTGCAAAGTTGTGGGGAATCTGTTTTACATGAACATGTATATCAGTATTACTTTACTGGGGCTCATCAGCCTGGACAGATACCTGCGGTTGAAGGGTAAAGGCAAGGCAAGGAGAGGCATGATGATGATTCTGTGGGGACGCAGCCGGCCGTGGAGCTGGGTGGCATGCGGGGCTCTGTGGGGTCTGTCGCTGATGGCGTTGGTGCCAATGATCGCCACTGCAGAGGACAAAGAGTTCAACGGCAAGTGCTTCCAATACAAGCAGCGCAGCAGCAAAGCCAAAGGGAAAGCCTACTTCAACGCCATGCTTGTGTTGTTGTTCTGGCTCGTCTTCGTCATGCTGGTTGTCTCCTATGCCAAGATTGCGTCCCAGCTGCTGCGGGTGTCACGGGACAAACCGGACCTTCCCAATGCACAGAGATACCAGAGAACTGCCAAGAAGTCCTTCTTCGTCCTCTTTCTGTTCACCGTCTGTTTCGCACCCTACCACGCCTTCCGCCCCGTCTACATCCTCTCCCAGCTCAGCGAAACGGCATCTTGTGACTACTTGCAACTGGTGGACCGCACCAACGAGGTGATGCTTCTGTTCTCCGCCTTCAATAGCTGCCTGGATCCTGTCATGTACTTTCTGTTATCTGGCTCTGTTCGCAAAACCGCCCTCCAAGCACTTGGACACCGACTTGGCCACCGTCTTCTCTTCCTAAACGACGCGACATCTAACAGCTCGACCACCGAGTTCAGACGGCCATCTGCGCCTATGGCTTTCCCGAACGCTGAACTGAACACCCCCTCAGTCACCCCTAGAACGAGTATCTGTATCATCAACTCCACCCTCCGCCACACAGGACTGACTACGCTTCCAACTACTGGCCAACAATGATGACAAATCTGACTGCAACAAAGCCTGAACACCCGAGAAATAAATTTCTCACATTTCTAACACAGGCCGGACTGCTGAGCTTATTCTGTACAAAACTGAGCATTTATACACATTCTTACTTCTTTTGTTTAAAGAAAAATAAATATGTTTTTTACTCCTGAGATATTCTCCCTGTGTTGGCTTACAAACACCTGTGCTGTGAGGGAATCATTGTTTAAATTGCAGTTTAACGCCTGAGTGACAGACTGACAATACAGTAACATCTGAGGAGACACACTTCAGTGATGACTGTGACAGCAGCTTTTCTTATAAAACATGCCATGTGTGTTTCCCATCAGAGAGAGAGAGAGAGAAGTGTATTTCAGTGATAACAGATTGAATGTATCTGATGACATTTTGAACACACAAAAAAATAAACGAAATGAAGTCGATTTGGAAAGAAAGAGATGCAAAGACAGACTTATGTTTCCTTCCTGACACTGACAGAGGCATAGCCCAGACTGTTTAAACACCACCTGGTTTGACCCACAGCTATCGGTTTACACTGAACACAACGAGTGTTGATCTGTCTGTGGACTGTGCTGTCAAATGGTAGTGATAGTAGGAAGATCAAGGGCCAGGTTCAGGACTGCTCCATCTGCTCTAGAAGTGTTCGTCTCCTGGCTAATCCTGATGCTAATCTGACTATAAGAGCTTTTAAATGACCAAACTCGACCCAGCAGGATGGTGTGCAAACTAACAGCTTCTATAGTTAGACTGGCAAAGCCACATCATACCTAGAGGTTAATGTAAAAAGCAGATGCTGACGGGGGTGTTTTCTGGTAAACTGTAAAGCCTTTGACCTTTATCACCACACAGATTTTGTCAGGAAACAGTCACATCAGAGTGTGTGGTATAAAAAGGGTTAAAGGGGAACTATGGTGCGTTGATAATTTGTGTCACAATGTTCAATGTCACGATGAAGGATGTTCACATTAAATGAGGCCAAAGTTTCCGATAATGACGCAAATGTGAGCAGAAGTAATCCCTGACAGCAGGAACCTCGCGTTTCCTAACGTTCTGAAGACCATGTTTCAAACAGTTTTTTCGCTAACATCAGGGAAACATGCAAACCTGGCTGCCTGTGTTACAGTGGAAAGTGCCGCTCTTCCACTTTACAGCTGTTCCCTGGCTGTGATGATGGTGCAGAGACGCCAAGATACATTAGATCTCACCTTTACATCCCGATGGATCACATTGTTGTCGTGGCAGTACCGAAGGGCCTCCAAAATCTGCCTCATGTAGTGGCTGGATGTGCAGAAAGCAGAAGCAGACAAGGGGGAGATCATTTAGGCCAGCTGCAAATTGTTTATTTCAGGCTTTATTAATATTTAAAATGCTCTCCGCACAGTTCCCAGACTGTGCGTCCTACCTGGCCACCGCTTCGCTGTACACAAACCCAGCGTCGGCTCTCTTCACGATTTCGAAACACAGGTCTGCTCCATCCATGCTGAGAAGAGTGAGAAGTGAAATTAGGATTCCAGCGATTATAGTCGAACTAGTATCTCTCAGAATAGTGTTTAAAACAGTGCATAAATCGACATCCGTCAGGGAGCCATTTTACGACCTGCTGTCACTGGCATAAACACAGAGGCACTATATTTTCATGATAGCACTTTTCAGCCAGTAACAATCCCCGGGGGAAGCTTTCAGGAGGATACGGAACACAGATTCGCAGCATAAAACCCACGCTGACGAGACACAGTAACCAGGCGAGTTGATTAAGAAAATTATATCTACAACAAAGGCTGGGAGGGACGAGCAGAGTGCTGTCTCCTGCTTCTGCAACGTCTCCTGTGGATTTATATGTGTGTAACGCTGATGCAGGACTGCAAGCGCACAATATCAGTCAGGATCAGTATGACCTTTGTTTCAATCTACGCCCAGACTAACAGTGTAGTACAGTACTTTGAAAATGTGTAGTAACATAACCTCTTTATTTATTCCTCTCCAGCAAAACATATGGAATCATACCATTTATACTTCATATTTTGCCCAGGCATAGCTCTTCAGTAAACCTAAATGACATCTATGTCTACTATATGAGCTTTAACATCTTGCTTATCACACATATTTTGTTTCCGCCGAGGCCTCTAATATGTCTGAAACCACTGAAGTGAGGGGGATGGATGTGTTGGCGATGAAGTGTGAAAAAACCAGGCGCAACCATCTGCCAACTGCTGGTAAATTTAGTCTGTGGCCGATAGATTGGTCTGCATATGTAAGATCATCACATGCCATCTATATATTGTTTCCTCTCATGAACAAAAAAAAGTGATATTCAGCCGCTCTACAGAAACCGTGTCTGGTAGGTGTTTCCTGCTCTGGTTAACAAGAAATAAAAGACGAAATATCAAAAGTGAGGATAGTTTGAAGTGCACGTCTGGTTATATACTGCATTATGTGGCCGAGAGAGTGTGAGCAGCACAGACTTACAATTCAAAGACCATGTAGAGCATGCCATCAGAGCTGTAGGTCTCCAGCAGCTCTACAATGTGGGGGTGTTTCAGCATGTGGCAGATACTGGCCTCTCGCTTCAGATCTGGAAAAGAGAAATCAGACATTCACATCACTCCAAAGTAATTACAGTACAAGCACGGGTTGTGTGTACCTGTATCTGCCTTTCTAATAAGTCAGGTTTTATACAAAGCCTCAAACGCAGCATACGTGACAGTCAGTAAGCTAATTCCCATTCACAGCTTCACTGGCGTCGCATGAACTGTGCTCAGCTCTGGATTATCAGGTGCTGCTTGGCTGAAGCAACACACTGACATATTTAAATCACGTTTTCTCCACTGCACATCACACCAGTAAAATTGATGTATGCTTTTAATTTCTCAGAGCTTTTATTGTTGAGTCACTCAAGGGTTTTATGTAGTTTGTAGCATCAACAGTTTCAGGGTTGAATGTCTGCATCTTCCTGGGGGTGTATGCATCACTTTCCAACCACTTCCTTTTTGATATGTGACTAAACGTGTAGGGTCTGGTACCGAAAACTCTGTACTTTAGGTACAGAGTTTTCGGTACTACGGAGTACTGATTCATGTCTGAACATCAGTATTTTCCAAGGTAGTGTTTCTGGGTGAGAATGCTGGGCTCAGACAGGAGGCACTTCGAAGCGAGGAGGCCTCTTCCCAGCAAGCCGTCTACTGTCTTTTCATTTTAGGACTAGCCTAGCATCACCACTCTCTGTGACTGAGTTCTGAGTCTAAACTAGGGCTGGGCAACATAACGGTATTTTATTTATGTCGTGATATGAATTAGGGCTGTGCGATATGACTATATATGTCGTGTGACAAGAGAAAAATGTCTATCGTTTTATATTTTGCTCTATCGTTTATATCGTTGTGACGCAAATTACACTTTTTGATTCACCAGCTTTCTCGCTACCAGCGCTCCCTCACAACAACTTTTTATTCACTGGATTAAAATGTGCTATGTCATGATAGGTATCGTTATCGGGATATGAAATTACCTATATCAGGATATGAGATTTTGGTCATATCGCCCAGCCCGAATATGAATCGTACTAAATATCGTCTTAGATTTTGGATACCGTAACATCGTAAGTGTTGTCTTTTCCTTGTTTTAAAGGCTGCATACCATAAAATAAAGTCATTTTCTGAACTTATCAGACTCCTCTCGCTGTCTAGCACCAAATCAACCCTACAATATCACAGCAAAGGTCAAAAATATTGTGATATGTGATTTCTTTCCGTATTGCAAAGCCCAGGTCGAAACAGAGCAGGAGACACGAGCCAACACACACACACACATACATAAGCAGACAGGCAGAAAACACAAGATTAGCTCTATGTGTGATTAGAAAAGAGGAACAGAACCACTTGTTGACCTGGGCCGAGGACGAAAGAATGACGTCTACAACATCACCCCTGCAGCTCTTTCAAAAATACTCTTTTTTTTTTTTTATACAGAGCAAGTAAAGTACCATAAAGGTACCGCTGGGTGCCGGCAGTGAACTCCAGGTACCTGCATCTGTTCAAATGTGAACTGCGCCCAACCCTATTAAGCACTATTTCCCCCAAGCATAACATGCAGAGCTATGAAAACAGGTCAAAAAGCTTTCATAAAGACAATGCAACAGCACAAAACAAAGTGTCACAGTGACAAACCAACTGAGTAACCACACCCATGACAAATACAGTCACAGCAGAGTTAGGTTTTGGTGGTTTATGCAGCTGCCTTATCTTTATCTCAAGTGAAAACTGGGTGAGAACACTCCCTGATGTTTATTTGAGACAGAAAGACAGGTCGGTGGGTGCCTCTTTTTTTAACCCTTTCACATCCCTTGGTGACGATTTAAGGAGATAAGAAGGCCACCCTCATCTTTTCACACCTCAACAGACCTGCCACAACTCCACTCCACCACCAGAGGGAGCTACAGAGCATTTCATTGACACAGAGGGATCCCATTTGTTGTGGCTCCTGAGCACACAAGGTGAGCCTTTACATGTTGGGTAGCACCAGGTGCAGGGCCACCAGAATAACATCTCCACTGCTAATTCAAATGCACATCTGGCTCACACTCCATCAGCATCATGCCCTCTCATTATCGACACATCCAGATGACACTGCAAATACAGTTACGACATTTGTCATCCTCTGCCTGCCTCATTAAAGAACACTGAGGGGAGATCACGGCTAACAGGAGTGGACGGCGTTCTCTCTTTAAAGAGGAGGAAACAGACAATATTGAAGAGAATGACTAACAGCTGGAGAGACGAGTGGTGAAACAGAGTTAACGCAGACTGCTGAGGGAGGCTGACAGACATAATGTGCTGTTCTTGAGCTCCTCACTCCATAAAAACCTCATTTACACACTCCACTCCCCATCTGCAAGTCTACTGATCTTTGTGTGTGTACGTGTGTGTGTGCTCATTGTGTCGTGACAGACCAGTATCATTATGCAACACAGAGAAATGACGCTGTGTCCCCACTACAGAGCCCCCATTCTACTGTTCCTTTGCTTTCATTATTTCTCTCCTCTCTGCACTCATCCTTGGCCCGTCTCATCGAGTATCTATTCTCGAGTGTAACAATGCTGCCCAGTGTCCGCACGGCAATGAGGAAACCACTCAGACAGAGCGAGGGAGCCAGAGAGGCCTGGAACGGTCTGAATGAAAGCAATGCCATTCACTGGGCCTATTCCAAATCAATTCGTACATGCAAGGTCCAGGCTAGACTCCGATTTGTGATGCAATGTTAAATTATTTCTCTCACTTTCTCGTGTGATAGTTTTCAGGAAAAGGTCTTTCCATTTTCACCTGACGCACACCTCACAAAATGCTTGGTCATGCTCCAGTGTGGTGTTAGTTTGTCTGGGGTGCTGATGAATTACATTTCCAAAATGTTCATTACCTAAATGCACAATACACATCCAACTAATAACACTGCAAATTGCACTATTGTATTTTTCAGTACCCATGAAGCTCTGCGGTTGATGGAGAGTGTTCACTAGTTCACTCACTGTATTCGTCTTTATTAAATTCTACAAATCCAGACACTGACTCATTCTGCTTTTGTTCAATACTCACAAACTCTTAATTACACCATTAATCATTTGTTCGTCCAACTCCCTCACATGCACACACACAGATATATTCACACATAACCATGAATGTTTGCTGCTCAGCTTGTAGCGGTTCTGTCTCTTTTCCATTTCAGTCACATTTATGCTGACACAGATTCTTTCTTAATAAGCTAAGGTATGTGGTCCCAGGAAACCACTCTCCGAACCTGGCCGCGCTCCAGCTCTCTGCCCTGCTACTCTGAGTGTCCCTGTGCTTTTTTCTTCTCTTGCGACTTTTTTTTAAATGTCAGGAATGTGGGTGTCAAAAAGGTACTCTCTTCTAACTTTAAGTGAAACTTTCAGTGTGAGGAAATACACACACCTTATAGTCTTATATTGTTTTCATGTGTGAGTGGGCTGCAAATTATAATGACTTGTCTTTGTGTTACAACTGTTATAAATGTTGAGTTGACATGATACTGCAATCTCTAACTTTAATGCAATACCTTGAAAAATATCAATATATTTAATCCCATGAGGAAAAATTGCAGGATTTTTCTAAAAAACCAAACAAAACAAAGTTTCACTCAACCTTTATTCAATCTCGAGAAATCATTGAGGGACCGCCCTCATTTACAATGATGTCGAGAGTACAGTTAGAACAGAATAAATAGGATGACAAAACAAAGCAGGAGCAAATACATATACACATGCATATACATATACACATAAACACACGTAGACACCACATACATTCATTCCCAAGCTCAGTATTTGCACGGGGGACTTTGAGTGTCAGCCAATCACTTCAACGAGTGGAATAATGACAATTGCACCAGTTTAATGAGGAGATGTATGACGGAATCCAATGTCTGTAAAATGTTAAAGACGTCCACCCGACCTTTTCACATAGGATGCAATTTCATTTCATTTATTAGGGTCCCCATTAGCTGCAGCCAGCTACAGCTATTCTTCCTGGGGTCCACACCAAACACAATACTTTATACATGACAGTACATTATCACTAAAGACATCCTGCCACCACCACCACGAAAGCACCAACCACAACAACAACAAAACACGATACAACACAAGACAGGACTTGGCTCTAATCATTGAAAAATCAAAAACAAAATACTCATGCAGAGGTATAAAGTACAAATGACTCATACTTAGGTTATTGCACAAGGCAATCAAAGTGGGCTTACAGAAAAGCCTCCAAGCGCTGCAGAAATCTCAGATATTTCAAAGCGATCTTTACTGTTTTCCTCAACGATATGCTCAGGCAGAGAGCTCTGTGTCACCACAGCTCTGTACATTACAGTGTTCTTCATACTAGTTTTAACTTTGGGTAGTATAAATCTACCTCCAGCAGCATGCCTAGTATGGTAGCTATGTACATCTCTCTTGGCAGTTTGGTTATTAAAATATTTCTGATTAAGTTGAGCAAAGAAGTAGTAAATCTGTCTTCTACCTTTAGCCATGATAAACAGTTATGCATTGTATTCGCATTAGTTCTGTATGAACATCTGAGTATACAGTGTGCTGCTTTATTCTGAGCAATTTGCAATTTTTTTAATTTGGGTCTTGGAAGTACTGGACCATACCACGGAGCAGTAGTCCAGATGAGATAAAACTAATGCCTTGATGATCTGTCCTGTGATGTAACTGAAAGACCTTTCCCCATCTTACTAATCAATTTATCAATATGCATTGACCAAAATAATTTATTATCTAATGTTACACCTAAAAGTTTGGTCTCAAGAACTTGTTCAACTGCAACTTCTTTTACATATAATTTAGGGTCTGTCCTGAATTGATGACTTGTCCCAAATACAATGCTTTTGGTTTTAAACACGTTAAACTACCCATTTAACTACCAACTGGAGGCAGAGGCGCGTCTGTAGATGATGTCACCATAACCCAGGACAGCTTCCGCTTCCAACTGAACACGGGAAAACTTACTATGTTTCTGTCCAAATATCCAATTTTTGCTGTAACTTCATGACAAGTGTGTCTATGTGAAATTTAAATGTGACTTTTTGATCCAACCAGATACCAAGATATTTATACTGGGATGCCCTCTCAATACTGTGACCATTTAGAGTGGCAATATGTAAACCACTATCAGCAGTATCAACAATATCTCTGGCTCTGGAGAACAGCATGTATTTGGTAATACAGAGTGCATTTTGCAAGTTGTCATAAGCTTATAGGATTTTGGCTGAATGTGCAGTGTTAGAAAAACAATACAGAACTGTATCATCTGCGTACAGATGGGCATTACAATGAAGAGGAGAGGACCCCATATTGAACCTTGTGGTACCCCCTTTCACAGGGGTAAAAATGTAGAACAGTCATTTCCCAAACTCACACACTGCTTCCTGTGAGAAAGAGTCCTGAAACCATTGACAGGAATTACAAAACCAATATCATGTAGTCTGTAGGAGCAGAGCAGAAGTAATCCCTCTCAATCATCGCTTGTGACTCACAAGAGGTGTGTGATTGTGTGTTTTTTCTGCAGAGACTTTCTCATTTTCTTGTTATTTTCGGTGTTAAGGACATTTATGGGAGTGTACTCCACAGAGCTCAGGTGAGGTGCCTTTATCGTCCACCAATTGGAAGATCAGAGGTCGGATCTCCGGCTCCTCCAGTCTGCATGTCGAAGTATCCTTGAGCAAGATACTGAACCCCAAATTGCTACCAATGATGCTTCCATGGGTATGTGAGTGTGTTAAAAACTGAGGAGCAGGTGGCACCTTGTATGGTAGCCATGGCCACCAGTGTATGAATGTGTGAACGTGACAGTTGTGTAGAAAGTGTATTGAGTGCAAGGTAGCAACCAGGTGCCAGACTATGAGCAGCAGGCATCCAAGAGACAAAGCGCCGAAAAAAACTAACTATAACAAGGCGAAACGCCAAACAAGGCAAAACGCCAAACAAGAGTGAATCTGTAGTTCTCTTGTACTTTCACTTTCACTGGTGAGCGCGTTAATAAACAGAAACTGGCAATCCTGCATAGTATACCTTTAAAAAAATGTAGAATATAAATATAACAAGGCTAATATACGACAATGATTTTTCTTTTCTTGGCTAGTGACAGACAACAGCAGAAAGACTAGTAAACATAAACAATAAGAGAGAGCCAGACAGCCCAGCTGGTCCAGGCGTACTGATACTGCAGAAAACAAATATTGAAACCATTACCAACATTTAGAATTGATATGTATTCCTTCCTTTTTTTTCATGAATCAATGAATTGTTGTAAGTGAAATAGCATAAATCATGAGTGCAAATTGCCCTTTAAGCCTTTAAATTCCAATTAAGAGTCCAAAAACACATTTTACATCAATATGAAGCAGAGGAGAACATCAAATCTTGACATCTGAGAAGTGACATGAGCTTCTCACAGTCTGACAAACACACAAAGCGTATTGTTGTCATTCTTTGAATCAATTCCCATGTCAGGAATGCGTCCCTAACAATCAGAAGTACTAGCTATTATCTATTTGAAAACCTCCACATCCTTCTGGACATTCTTGTCACCACGAATACTGTGGGCAAGCTAGATTGTTTGTCATGTTTGGTGCAGCTGACCACAGGGTGAAGCGTGCTAGAAGTGACACGGGGAGACCGACAGCACGATTCCCTGTTTTCCAAGGTAACAAATACTCTTGTAAAATCATCTCGTAGATGATTTATAATTTTCAGATAGTCTCAGGATAATGAAAAACACACTACAGTCCAAATTATCTAGGAAGCAGACACTGGTGTAAATCTCCACTTCTAGCGTTTCTCCTCCTCTGGGTCATTTCCTTGTCTTGCTGTTATTGGCTACCAGGCTAATCTCTGACTGGGGTATCACAGATGGCACATGGTGAGCGCCAACATTAGCACCAATCCGCACACACACACACGCACACCTATGATCTTTGTCTCCATCTCTCTCTCTCTCTCTCTCTCTCTCTCTCTCTTTTAGACACACTATGACAAAGCATCAAACCACATGGCGAGACATGGCAGGCTTCAATCTCTCACACATACTCACCATTACAACCTAACCAACACATACACACACAGGCACACAAAATATGCAACACATTATTCATCTGCATGTGTGACATTATGCCTCATTTATTTGTGTTTATAAAGTCTGTTTGTGCCCCGGTGTTTGATATCTGATCCAAACAGTACTTGCAGATAATTACCAACATTTGTTGTAACCCACGAGGAGAATAAGGCGGGTGGGGGGTTGCATTGGAGCACAGAAAGCAATTCATAAGTTAGCTGGAGTTCTCAAAGAAAGATTAAGTCTCTGTGATTGACAACTATCCTCTCTCGACCTGATTCTAGCCCCACCCATCTGCTGCTCCGAGCGCATGACAACAAAAGATGTCACTGCAGCCACAGCTCAAGGCTGCGGTGTTCCTCACCCTCTGTGCTGAGGCCAGGGCTGGAGGTGAAGCTGGCCACATCCACGATCTTTACAGCAAACTGCTGGCCCGTGTCCCTGTTGATGCAGCGCCTCACCACGCTGAAGGGACCCCTGCAACACAAACACACACACACATGCTGAGTTAGTGACAGGTACATACAATCACACAGACATCAACCTATGTTCTGATGTGATTTCTCACATTCAAACACTGGATAAATTAGCACCTAGCAGAAACACATGTACACATAATCACATGCTCACAACCACACACAGCAGCCTGGTGCAATGGGCACACATCTCTGAAAAAATATTCTGGATTTACAGTGAGCGGTTTGCTAGGCATCATAGCCGTGCTCGTGCCAGTGGGAATTATAGAGCAGTGGTGTGCAGCACAGCTGTAAAAGCTAAAATAAAAGCTTTATTATAGAGACCTGAGCACGGAGACCTACCCAGCAGGGTTTATTTCTGGACAAATGGGGTGGCAGATTTTGTATGGCTGCATTTTTCTGTTGTTCTTTTTAATAAGAAAATCAGCTCTGCAGCACAGGAAAGCTTGCATCGACATCTTGATTTCAATAGGACAATCCTCTGAACAAACACACAGGTTTTACTATATTAAAATCCCATGCATAATTAATGTGGTTAAATCCCATAAAACAAACTATAAACATGCTTTAGCTCATATCACCCACACACCACACATTATGTGATCGGATTTCGGATCGGATCGGATCATCATCATCACCTCTCGAGGTACAAGTAGTATTACAAGACAGTACAGGCCAGGGCTAGCATCCTAATTTTAGTAGATCTCTGCAACACAACAGATAGATCTCTTTGACATACAGTACGTGTACATGCAGCTTGAGAAAATGGAATTATTGGCTTTGTCTGACTGAAACTGGACAATCCGTAGCTCGACTAACACACCTAGAAAATTTGATTGAAACTCGTACTGAGTTTGATGATTCCACAGCGTTCTGCGCATGCACCACGTTTTCTTTCACGGGCTTTCTCCCGGAAGACGAAGGAGATGACGTAGCAGCAATGCAGTAACTCCCGGAAAAACAAACAATCAAACACCATGGCGACCGAGAAGCAGAAGACGCACTTGTAATATAATTAACACCTAAAGCATACGAAACATACAGAGCCACAGCAACATCCATCTCTGCTATCTTCATTTGTCATCACCTTCCTCTTCGGGTCAACCGGAACTAGTTCAATTTGCACTAGCTGTTTTCGAAACTGTCCACTCACTCACTCACTCACTATTCCCTATTTCGTGTTTACTATATAGTGCACTACATGGGGAACGACTGAATGAGATTTTGGACACTAACTGAAATTTTCTGAACGTCTTTGCGTCATTAGCTGTGCTGCATACTCCTGTGACGCAAGTGGACGCGCCGAGCATCATGTAAACAAACCGGGCACTTTGAGGATGATCAAACTGTATGGTGGTTGTACTTTTTGTCAATAAATTGTTGAAATGTCAATGGTGTGGACGTTTGGTTTTGTCAGCTACGGTTGTGTGTCTGCATTGTGAGCTGTAATAGCCCACAATAGTGCACGAGCTACAAGCTACCTAGCTCGTGCGAGCTAAGTGGCTATTGTTAGCTCTTGAGCCAACGTTACCAGCTAGCATCCTATTCTTTTCTTTTCTTTTTGTGCCATCTTTGAGGTTCTTCTTCTTCTTCTCCTGTGGCAAAAGATGACCACATTGCATTGTGGTATACGGGAGTAAAATGTAGGTACATCGTTTGTTCTCTCACATTTGCTGTGCATTGTGGGTATTTTATAGTCCACTATACAGTGAATGAAATTAACCGTGGAAAATTCGAACATCACCACAAAATGGTGAACACACTATATACTGCACTATATCCGTGATAGGGAGCGATTTCAAACACAGCTACTATATTAAAAAGGACACAGCATCGCCTATCGAGGCGGAGTCAGACGTACTTGGTCAGAAATTCGATTTTCTCTTCTGCATGTAAACTCAGACAAGAGAAGAAGTCCGACTTGACTGATTAGCCGAGCTATGAGCTTAGCTCGACTACTGCGTGCATGTAAACGTACTGATAATGTCAAAACTGTTACTTCTTCCTGGTCTGTTGATTATGTTAGTTCTTTTGTTTAATGTTTTCAAGTTATATCCTGACCATATCATACGCACTGCACCTTTAAGATGAATAATTGCCCTTAGTAAGTAGTTAACTTGTTCTTTAAAGTATTAAAATGATTTATGACTTATAATCATTTATTTCTTTGTAGTACAAATATGGCAAAGTGTCAGAAATGTTGTTTCAAGTACTTGTTATGGATAAGGCCAAGACAACCAGCAGGGGGCAATGCCAAGAGAATAACCGTTGTTGGGTGGGCCACCCCAAAAAAAGTTTATTGTATACAACCTTCAATCAGTATTTACACACAGGCCAGGCCACACTAAAAGGTACTCCTCACATACACACACAGGTCAAGTCCATGCAGAAGCTATAATGCCTTGTAATTCATTAGTCTCACAGGTGTATATGATAATTCTTCGTCATTATGCGTAAGCACCAAGCATGAGATTAAATCTGCAACAAAGTGGCGGGAACACACACTGAAAGCCTCGGAATTTGCACATTTTGTGTCTCCTAGCCCACTGAGAATTACACACACACACACACACACACACACACACACACACACACACACCCCTGCCATGTTACAGCTGTCTCTACATCTCCCAAGTCTACAATCCTCAGAGGCGGAACCACTGCTACTGGGGACACATAAATACACAATAACACCCGTTTTGCTAAAGCAAAGTGTCGACCATTAACGCTCAGTTTGACTGAGCTATCAAATAAACTTGCCCGACAATGTTAGTGTCGAACAAACAGTAAAAGCTATTCACTTTAAGTGTCTGTGTGTGTTATGAGTGTGGCTGCTGCAGCTGATTTGTTCTCACATTTGTCCCTCACATCTGCTGTAATGATTAACCCATATAAACAAACCCCGGCAGTATGTGCAAGCTCCGGGCCGAGAACACCGTAAAACACTACGCTCTCAGCCTCAGAGTTCACAGGAATCCTGCTGGTGACCTGACAGCCCAGCTGACCTTTGCCCTCCTGGTTGATGTGCTGGAGCAGCTGTGTTTCACATTACAAAGAGGGCATGAGAGGTGTGGGGTGATTCTTGAGTGCATGATGGAGCATCTGATGCTCCCAATCCAGCCTCGTCTAGTCTAGTGAAGGACTAGTGAATGTTTGGGGGAAGTTAATTTTGTTGATTGTTGTCAAATACCGAAGCTTTGGGGTTGGTTTAAGTCAGAGGCTGCAGTCACAGGGATACAAATGATGCAGTTACGCTAAGGCCATCTTGGCACTGATCTAATGTGTGTCAATAAAACTCATTATCACCATTAAGCAATGAGGTGGGGTTGGGTAAACCTGCCAGATTTCATGCATCAACCCCATTTGTAATCTTGGCTGTCAATTTACGGGAGCTGCATGGAGAATCAATTCCCGAAAGGGCTGTTTCTACAACAGTTGTGCGCTGCAAGTGAAAGGGGGCTGGGGCCGATATTTAATTTCATAAATCAGAATGCGATTCATCTCATCATCTGGAATAAAAAAAAAAAAAAAATTAAATGACCATTCAGCCATGTACAGTAGCTATTACAGAGACATTATGAGAGAGCAAGTAAGTGTAAGAGAGAGAGAGTGTGTGTCTGAGCGTGAGGAAGCAAGGGGCCACATGCCGTACTGACATCACCGCAGCTGTGCTGAGTGGGCTCACACAAAACGCCCACACATGGCTCACATCCGACAGCGGCAGTCATCAAACATTAGCCCGAAGTGGCAATCTTTACAGACTGCTCCTGGGCAGGGCTCATTTCCACTCTCTGCTCTATGTAAATCACAGAATATTAGGTGCATTTTTAACATCCACGCTGGCCATACGCCAAATTTCCTCTCAGGTCTCTTGTTTTTTTTCTCCTACTAAACAGGGACAGGACACATCTGTAGCTGCAGACTCAACATCACCAGTACGGCTCTCCTGAGAGCAACCATATTTGCTTAAAGCAGCATTTTGCTCTTTAGCTGAGGCCAGCAGCTAGCATAATTCACTCAGTTAGCCTGTCCTAAAAATTTAAGGGGAGAACGTCTGCACAGCTGTGAGATACAGAAACATAATTTGAGTTGCTCAGGTAGGAAAACTATCGGTGCTGCTCCCAGGTTTCTAATCCCAAGCAGGTAAATTGCATCTTATCTGGTGTGTCATTGTGCACACTGTGGCAAACCATCATTTTAAATACTTTTTTTCCCTACAAATAACCCTTTGGATTCAGCAAGCCGCACTACAAACATGCAACACCAATATAATTAACACACTACAAACGTACAAATAGGTATTCTGTGGCTGCTCAATGGGTAAAAAAAAGTCAAACTTCGCTTTAAAAAACAGCCGAGTTAGTGGTGACGTCGATGGACACACAGAGCCGACAACTGCCTATTCATGAATCTGCACAAAGGCATGTGCTTTAAAAGAGAAAGGGGGAAAAAACAAACTATTTGAGGGCTTCTCAAATAAGTGCCGTTTGCCCTACTGCCCAAACTGAGCTCAAGTGCAAAGCTGTTAATTTCCCAAGTTCAACAAAGTTCAGTGTTGTTCAACTGCAGCCTGTGAACTTCTAAGCAACAATAATCCAGAGTGCTTCCTTATGCAAATTAGAGATCTCTTTGAATATTAGCGGGGAAATTAGTATTCCGGTTGCAAATTGAAATTTAGAGCAAAGACACCCTCAGGAGGTCCGCAAGCTTTGGCAGAAAATCCTTTCCTCTACATAAAAAAAAAAGAAGAAGAGAATCCAGGTTTGTTTAAACCATCCTGCAGAGTCTGGCCTTGTAGTCTGAAAGAAAGCTCCAACTTTACACCATCCATTCACAACTATTGATCTGCTGTGTGTGGGCGGCTAAAAGGAGCACATACTGTACATGAACAGGAAGTTCAGAAGAAAGACAATAACTGTCCTAGCGCGAGAAAACAATTACACTACTATACAGTCTACACTATCACATCTGGCACATGTATTACATTAAATATATTTCAAT